GCTTCTTTTATTAAGGATTATGTGTTGCCCAGCCAGTGTGGCTCACTGGTTGAGCATCGACCCATGCACCAAGAGGTCACCGGTTTGATTCCTAGTCAGGGCACATGCCCAGGTTGTGGGCCAAATCCCCAGTTGTGGGGGGGAGGCTTGCAGGAGGCCGCCGATAGATATTCTCTCTCATCGATGTTTCTATCTCTTTCTCCCTCTCCCGTCTTCTCTCTAAAATCAAAAAAAAAAAAAAAAAAGAATTGTGTTCAAGGTTCACCCATGTTATATGTATTCATATATCATTATTATTTTTTATTGTTAATCCTCACATGAGGTTATTCTTCCATTGATTTATTTTAAGATGGAGTGGGGGGGGGGGGAGAGAGAGTATGAGAGGGAAAAGCATGACCCCAACCGGAACCTGCGATCAAACCTGCAACCCAGGCACGCACCCTTGACAGAATTGAACCCAAGACCCTTGGGTCCACGGGCTGACACTCTTAACCACTGAGCCAAACCAGCCAGAGCATCATTATCTTTTATACTGAATAATATTTCATTGTCTAAATATGCCACGTTTTATTTATCCATTCATTAGTTCATGGACATTAGGACTGTTTCCACATTTTAGCTATTATGAACAATGCTATGAGGATGTATGTACGTACTCGTTTTTGTGTGGACATGTTTTCAATTCTCTTGGGTATATATCTAGAAGTAGAATTGCCAGGTTATATTGTAACTGTTTAACTTTTTAAGAAATTGCCCAAATATTTTCCATAGCTGTTGCATCATTTTATACTCTTCCAGCAGTGACTGAGGATTCCAGTTTCTCTAAGTCCTCACTCCTTATTACTATTATTGGGTGATAGGAAATCCCAGTGGGTAGGAAATGGTAATTTATTATGGTTTTAATTTGCATTTCCTTAATTAGTGATATTGAGAATGTGCTTAGGGGGCATTTTTTATATTTTCTTAAAGAGAGTTGTTTATTAACCCTTTGCCCAATGTACAATTAGGTTGTCTTTTTATTTTTGAGTTAAGAGTTCTTTACATGTTCCAGACACAAGCTTGTTCTCTGTTACATAATTTGCAAAAATTTCTCTCATTCTTTGGGCTTTCTTTATATTTTCTTCACATTATTATCTGAAGCACATATACTTTTAATTCTGCTGAAGTCCAGTTTAGATATTTTTTTGTTTTGTTTAGTTACTTGAGCTTTCTTAAGTCCATTTCTCCTCAAAACCTATTTATTTATCATTCTAATTAGGTTGGTGACCAGATTTCCAAGCCAACATCAGATTAGAAGGGGACAGGATAGTTGATAATCATAAAACCACAGAGAACTTGGAAAGAAAACCTTAAGAATTCTGTAACTATTAAAGTCTGGGGCAACCAACTTTAGAAATTCTGAAAACATCAAAGCCTAATCACAGTAACTGACCCACGTCAGCACAGCAAAAAGTTTGTGCTCCAGTTGTGGGGCTCAGTGGTTGAGTGTAGTCCCATGGACTGAGAGGTTCTGGTTCAATTCCCGGTCAGGGCACATGCATGGGTTTTGGCTGGATCCCCAGTACGGGGAGTGCAGGAGGCAGCCCAGTGATTTTTTAAAAAAACCCTCACCCCAGGATATTTTTCCATTTATCTTCAGATAGAGTGGGAGGAAGAGAAAGAGAGTGCCACATCATGTGAGAGACACTTTGCCTCCTGCTGCAAACCCAGATGGGGGTGTGTGTGTGTGTGTGTAAAACAAAGTACCACCCTTGACCAGCATCCAACTCAGGACTCTTTGGTCTGGGACAGGTGCCCACCGCCCCCTCCGTTTTAGCCAGACCCATGCTCCAGGAAGTCGCTGCTTCGATTACCAGTAGGGCACATGCCCAGATTGTGGGCCCCATCCCCAGTGGGGGACATGCAGGAGGCCGCCAATCGATGTTTCTCTTTCTCCCCCTTCTCACTTCCTCTCTCTGTAAAATCAATAAAGAAAAAAAGATAAGAAAACAAGGTGTTTGCATAGTGACTGGTTAGGGGTCTTAGTGGTTCAGTGAGTACCCACAAAACCGAAGGACTGCCCCAGAGGAAGACTAGTGATTTTCGGACACGAACACGTTCACTCTAACACCAGAGAGGTCCTGGGAGCTGCGAGCACCCTCGGCGGCCCAGCTTTGCACATGGGTCTACCTGCGTGTCCACAACACCCCGGGGAAACGCGCGCACGTCCAAGTGGAAGCCTCAACACTGTGCGACTGCTCCCACCACATTCAGGAATGTGTAGCTGAACTTTTTTTATTTTTTTGAGATGAGATTTAAGCTTTCTGTGACGACGGCCGGCAACTTCCACCAACTCTAGCGAGACACTCCTGAAAGGTGAAGAATCACTGCGCTACGCCAAACGCGAAGACCCCACTCCTACTCTTCTCTTCCAGGACCCACCTCACGTCCCACGAAGGAGGCCAGGGCGAGGACGGGGGGCGAACCGGCCCCCACCCGGCCCCGACTCCTCACGCCTGCCGGGACCCCCAAACACCGGGCCTACCAGTCCCGGTCTCCCCGTCTTTGCCACCCCGCCCAGCGTCCGCGCTTCTGCAGCCAGCGGACCACACCGAACGTCGCAGCCGCCCCAGGTGGCAGCCTGCGGCCGGGAGCCAGGACCTGTGCCCGCTCCGTTCTTCAGCGTCTCTCACCCGCCCCAGCTCCTCCGTGGAAACACACGTGCACGCGACCGCCCACCGCCCCAGGGAAGCATTAAGGATGAGCCGTACCCCGAGAGCCTACCTGAGCTGAGCGCAGTCAGCGAGTTTGGAGAGCGCACGCAGCCTGGGGCGTCCGCCGCTGATGCAAGGCCGGCGCGGAACGGCCAATCAGCGCGCTCCGCCGGGCAACCAGCAACAAAACGAGTGCCGATTCGCTGCTCGGGCTCTGGCCACGCCCACCGGGCCCCCGTGGTGCGTGCCGGGAAGTCGGCGGGGCTGTCCAAGCCGCTCAGTTGGCAGCAATGGAGGAAACGGCTGGGTTGGGCTCAGGCTCTGCATCGGACCTGGTTTGTCGCACAGGTGCCATGTGTCAGTGTCCACCCCCCTGTCCGCTGGACAAATGGAACCCACTGACAGTGGCTTCCGTGAGCGTGCTGCGGGGATGAGAGCAGCAAGCCCCCAGGCCGCTTTCCCAGGTGATGTTACAGGAGAGCAGCTTTGGCTCCCGCGTTGTGGTTTTCATTGGGTAAGCAGACCCTCCCCAGATCGGCCGGGAATTGGCAAAAGTGCAAAGGTCTGCACCACTAGGCCTGCTGGGACTGACTTTGGAGGTGGCTCCCCCAAAGCAGTGCTTTTGGCCTTGGCCAGTGCGATTCAGCGGCCAGAGCGTCAGAGGGCATACCCAGGGACTGTGGGTTCCATTTCCGGTCAAAAGCAGGTGGGGGCCCTGGACCGTTTGGCTCAGCTGTTGGAGCGTTGCCCTGCGGACCAGAGAATCCCAGGTTCGGTTCCCCTAGGACCAAAAAAAAAAAAAGGTAGCGGATTGCAGGTTTGATCTTTCCCGGCGGAGGCGGGTGTAGGAGGCAACCAACCAATACCTGTCTCTCTCTCACGGTGATGTTTCACTCTCCCCCCCCTTTCCACTCTCTAAAAATCTATGGAAAAAAATACTCTCTAGTGAGGATTAATAAAAAAGCAAAGGAAAAAAAAGGCAGCATTTCTCAGTTGGTTAGAACGTCATCCCATTGCCAACATTACTGGTTCCATTCCTAGGCAGGATACATACAAGAATCAACCAATGAAAGGAACAACAAATGGACGTTTCTCTCTCTCTCTCTCAATCAACAATAAAAAAACAAAAACAAACAAACAAACTATAAAGCTGCATTTTGACAAGCACTTAGATAATTCTGATGCACACTCAATTCCTGACTTGCCTATCGGAAGAGACTCTTCTGTTCCTCAGAAAAACGCAGAGGCCATGATACTGCATGGAAGCTGAAGCACAGGTCAGTGGTGTTCCAGGGAAGCCTCCCATTCTGTGACCGTCAGTGCCACCTCCAGAGTTCTGGATTTTATTGCAGAAATGAAACGGCCATATGGAGATATAAAAAGGAAAGAAATGTCTGGTGACCAGCCTTAAAAATGTTTCCCCTTATGAATACAAAGTAGTTTGCTTATTTGTATCTATTATCTCTGCTGCATGTCTGCTTGGCACCTCTACATCTACTGCCTAAAAACGAGAACCTGGAGCCATGCAAAGGAGAGTAGACCTCAGGCTTTGGCACCAGAGACTATAAAGAAAATTTTAGAGGTCTTGACAAATTGGAAGTAATTCTGCATGTAACAACCGCATCTTGTACCCATTAACAGGGACAAAAACATTGGGCTGAGAACATGTAGAAAACACTTCTTTAGTAAGTTTAACCTTTTGACACTCTGTGTAGCATTCATTAAACAGTAACTTTAATGTCCAGAACACCCTACTGAGTGTCAGGGATTAGAGTAAGGTGGGTTTCAGGTCCTTCCTCAAAGGGGTAACTCTCAACTCAACTCACTTAACATACACAGTTAGTAGTGTGTCTTCAGCTTATTAACTAGAAGTACTTGGGATGTGTTTTAAGTCTTGCTTTCCTCAAGTTGCTACCTCATCCAGTTCATTTTTATTATCTGTCCAGACAACCCAGATCAGAAAAGGGCAGAGGGCTCTTAAGAGACTAGGGAAAAAGGGTGAGGAGGACAGGTCTGCTTATTTAAAAATTAGAGTGAGAAATACTTTATGGTACTGTTAGGAAATAAGGGAAGGCTAAATATAGAAAAAGTTGAGCAAGTGAAAAGATTCTAGGAAAAAGTTAAATGTGGTCAAAATATACTACTTTGAGTTAAATCCGCATTAAAAGGTTTTTTTTTATTAAAAAAAAACAAAACTTCATTTTAGAAAGAGGGAGAGGGAGAGAGAGAGAAACATCAGTCAGCTGCCTTCTGCATGCACCCCAACCAGGGCTTGGGCCCACAACCAGGGCATGTGCCCTGACCAGGATTTAAACTGATGACTTTCAGTGCACTAGATGACTTTCAACCAACAGAGCCATGCTGGCTAGGGCTAAATCCTGATTTTTCAGAGTAGGAAGTCAATAGATAATGTCTAAAACTGATAAACCAAGAAATCATAGTAGAAACATGTTAGGTAGAAATAAAATATGGAGATTAACTTGGTGGAAACATTAAATTGTTGGAAGCAGGAAGTGGGGATAGGCAATGTTACTTGGTATCACTTTTGCTTTGGAGAAACGTAGGGTGTGAGATTTAAACATGGTCACAAACTGGAACTCCTGCCACTGAGAGGTGAGGGTCTATGTCCCCTCCCACTGAGTCTAGGTGCGTTATTGTGGAAATGACTCTGAGCCAATTTCTGAGCTAGGTACGCCTTAAGAGGCTTCCAGCATTTGCTTCCTGATCCTAAAACTTAGTTGCCATGCTGTGAGGAGACCCATGGACAGGCACAGAGTTGAGTGGGCCATCTTAGAAATGGGTTCACTAGTTCCTGCACAGCCACAACAGTGACACTATATGGAGAACAGACAAGCAATCCCCAATGAGTCCTGACCAAATTTGGTATTTGTAAGCAAAATAAATGATTATTGAGGAAATGACTTGCTATGCAGCTGTAGATAAGAACCTATCAATGTAATATACATCAACAGAAAGTGGAACAGAAAGTGGGTTATGTATCCTTTTGCATTCAGCCTCTTAAAAAACACGAAATGGGAGTAAGGTATATTTGGTACAATCATAAATGAGTTCTTTCAAGTAGCCTATACTTCACGCAAAAACTAACTTGGAAAACAAGTGCTCTGACATGTATTTTAAAGGGCTCCACATAAAACTTGCATCAGAAGATGCCCATTAGTTACTGAGGATACAGGGCAAAGATTATATACAAAAAGTTTTGTTTTTTTTTGAGGGACTATCTTGTGCTTCATTGAAAAAAAAAGTTCAGGTTAATTTTTTTGGAAGTACTCAGGGAGAAATAGGGGAAATGCACAGAAAAACAGCAACAGCAATCAGAATGATATCCATTAACCAGATTTTGAATATTCCTTCACTCTGAATTCTTGTCAGCTAAATTATTTTCTACTTCATCCAATTTTGATGGGTGAGCCATGTTCACAATCAGTATCGAAACTAATGACACTTTTTATTTTGGTTTCACTCTCCTCTTGGCATCTTTATGTTTTTTCCGACAATCCTAGAAAAAGATAAAATAAAATGTAAATTATTTTCAAGAGTTCAGTAACTATGAAGTAAAATTTAGGGTTATTCAGTGTCCGGGTTGTGGAAACCATTGTGGAAGTGCTCACCTGAAATGAACAGGGAATATTTAAATTTTTGGTGGTGTGTTTACAATGGAAACTCTAACTCAGTCTTTCAGAAGTCTCATGATTTGTTGTTACTTAATGAGCATGGCTGAAACTCAGACCAGTCACTCGATTCAGCCAGTCTTCAGTCTCTTCACCTGTACCATGTGTGTGTTGGATTGAACAACCACAAAGTTCCCTCCAACATTATAATTGAGTGTTTAAATCATGTTCTCAGTTGTCATCCTTTCTGTCCAAAATTTCATACCTTATTCCCGTATCCTTAAACAAGACATACATTAACACAAAGAATACATCATATCTATTTATACAGACAACATGAAGATACAGTTACTCACCATACGCAGGTTGTTTGTTCTGTTCTCCCAGAAATTCCTACTAATATTACCTCCTGCTCCTTTCCAGAATAAGTCAGAACCTACCCCGGGAAGATAAAAAAGATGAGGCAAAAAATTAATACCAAAAACAATTAATGTTCTAGTGCTGGCGTTAGCGAGGTCTTTAATTCAAGTTAAGACCCCCACACCCCTCAATTTATATCAGTTATATTTTATTTGGTTGTTTTTAAGTCATTTTTTAATTTTTCAATTACAGTTGACATACATTATATTAGTTTCAGGTGTATATCCCAGTGACTAGACATTATGTAACTTAGTAAGTGATTATCCTGATACATCTCGTACTCATTTGACACCATAGTTATTGGAATATTATTGACTATATTCCCTATGCTGTACTTTATATCCCAGTGACTATTCTGTAACAACCAATCTGTACTTCTTAATCCCTTCACCTTTTTTACCCATTGCCCAAATCCCCGTCCCATCTGGCATCATCACAATGTTCTCTGTATCTATCAGTGTGTTTCTGTTCTGCTTGGTTGTTTTATTTTGCTTTTATAGATTCAATTAATTGTTGATAGGTATGTATTGACATTTTTTACTTTTCTTCTTTTTAAAGAAGTCCCTTTAACATTTCATGTAATACTGGTTTGGTGGTGATGAACTTTAGCTTTTTCCTTGTCTGGAATGCTCTTTTTCTGTCCTTCAATTCCAAATGATAGTTTTGCTGGGTAATATTAGCTGTAGGTCCTTTTCTTATTTTTTAACTGTTGAAGAGTATTATAGGTACCCCCCCATTATCCACCTCAACCCGGCTCCTGCCCCACCCCAGACCTTCACCATACTCTTATCCGTGTCCATGGGTTACATATACATGACACAAATTCCCTCGTTAATCTCTTCCTATCTACCTCCTTCCCTCTGAGATCCTTGTCTGTTCCATGTGTCCATGTCTCTGGACCTATTTTGTTCGTCAGTTTATTTTGTTCATTAGATTCCACATATAAATGAGATCATATGATGTTTGTCTATCTTTGACTGGCTTATTTCACTTAACATAATATTCTCCAGGTCCATCTCAAAAGGTAAGAAATCCTTTTTTTTTTTTTTTACAGATACATAGTATTCCATTGTGTAAACGTACCACAGCTATTTTATCCACTCATCTACTGATGGGCACTTGGGATGTTTCCAGTTCTTAGCTATTGTAAATAGCGCTGCTATGAACATATGGGTGCATGTATTCTTTCTGATTGGTGTTGTGGGATTCTTAGGATATATTCCCAATAGTGAGATCACTGGGTCAAATGGCAGTTCCACTTTTAATTTTCTGAGGAAACTCCATACTGTTTCTCAGAAGGGCTGCACCAGTCTGTATTCCCATCAACAGTGTACTCGAGTCCGCTTTTCTCCACATCCCTGCCAGGATTTGTTGTTTGTTGATGGTAGCCATTCTAGCAGGTGTGAGGTGATACCTCATTGTAATTTTCATTGGCATCTCTCTGAGCATTTTTTCTTATGTCTCTTGGCCATCCATATGTCCTCTTTGGAGATATGTCTATTCAGGTCCTTTGCCCATTATTTAATTGCATTTCCTTTGGTTGAGCTGTTTGAGTTCTATACATATTTTGGAAATTAACCCCTTATTAGATGTATTATTAACAGACATGTTCTCCCATACAGGGGGGTTGCCTTTGCATTTTGAGGATGGTTTTTTGTTGCTGTGCAGAAGCTCGTTCGTAGTCCCATTTATTTTATCCTTTGTTTCATTTGCTCTAGGAGATATTCCAGCAAATAATTCTGCTATGTGAAATGTCTGAGATTTTACTGCCTGTTTTCTTCTAGGATATTTATGATTTTTGCATCTCAAATTTAAATCTTTTATCCATTTTGAGTTTATTTGTGTTTATAGTGTAAGTTGGTGGTCTAGTTTAATTTTTTTGCATGTACCTGTCCAATTTTCCCAATACCATTTACCTAACAGACTATTTTTAATCTATTGTATGCTGTTGCATTCTTTGTTAAATATTGAGCATAATGTCTTGGGTCGATTTCTGGACTTTGTTAAAAAATCCTTACCCCAGGATATTTTTCTGTTTATCTTCAGATAGAGTGGGAAGGAGGAAGAGAGAGGGAGAGAGAAATATCTATGTGAGAGGTTGCCTCCTGCATGACCCTGACCAGGGCCAGGGACAAACCACAACTGAGGTATGTGCCCTTAGCCAGAATTGAACCTGCGACTCATTGGTTGTGGGCCAATGCTCTATCCACTGAGCCAAACCAGCCAGGGCAGGTTAGGGAAGTTTTTTATCATTATTTTTCAAATAGGTTTTCAATTTCTTGTGCGTTCTCTTTTCCTTTTGGCATCTCCAAGAAGCAAATGTTGGTATGCTTGAAGTTGTCCCAGAGGCTCTATACTATCCTCATTAAAAAAAAAAACTTTTTCTTTTTGCTGTTCTGATTGGGTGGTTTTTTGCTTCCTTATACTCCAAATTGCTGTTTTGTTTCTTGGCTCCATCTATCTACTGTTATTTCCCTGTAAATTATTCTTCACTTCAGTCACTATACCCTTCATCTCTGACTGGTTCCTTTTTATGGTTGCTATGTCCTTTTACATGCAGGTGAGGTTTAAGTTCATCTCCTCTTCCCCTAAGTTCCTTGAGCATCCTTATAAGCAGTGTTTTGAACTCTGCATCTGATAAATTGCTCATCTCCATTTTTTCAGTTCTTTTCTGGAGTTTTATGCTGTTCTTTCATTTGGAACATGTTTCTTTGTCTCATTTTGCCAGCCCTGTGTTTGTTCCTATGTTTAGGTAGAGCTGCTATGTCTCCTGGCCTTGTTAGAGTGACCTAATGTAGTGTCCTGTAGGGTCCAGCAGTACATTATCCCCATTCACTAATGGGCACTCCAGGCATGCTCCCCATGTGGGCTGTGTATATTTTCCTGTTATAGCTGAGCCTTGATTACTGTTGGCAGGTCAATGGGAGGGATGTATTCCCGGCCAATCAGCTGCATGGAATGACTGTAACCATTGTGGGGGATAAACTGTGCAGGAGCCCACCCCATGGAGCAAGACTTACTTCAGCAGGGCCATTGAGTCAACCCCTGGAGTATGTTGCTTATGGAGTTGGTGAAGCAGTGTTCGATGTGGTCTGAAGGTGTCCACTGGGTGTGCTGGCTCTGGGGCCTCCCAGAAGGTGCAGGGCAAGGTTAGCTGCGGCCTGTGTCCTGCCTGGGGCCACTTGGCATGAACTACAAATCAATATTTGTTCTTGGCTTAGAGGTGCCCAGGTGTTGCGAAGCTGCAAATCAAGGCCGGCTGCTGCTAGTGCCAGGCCTGGGGCTACTTCATTAGAGGTCCATGGCATGCTGAGGCCAGATGCTGCTTGAGAGATGTGAGGAAAGTTGGAAGCATGATCCAAATAAACCATTGGTATGAAAAAGCCACTGGAAGTAGTTTGGGTAGGCCTGCAAGTTGTGTTGGGTGGGATTTCAGGGAATAGTGGGGCAGGCAAACAGTGACAGGCAGCTTGATGGAGATTCAGATACAGCACTAGCCTTTGGGGGGCAGGGAGGGTTCAGGAAAGAAACAATGACCTCTGTCAACACTTCTTTCTGGGAGAAAGCTGCCCCTCCAGCTCTTGCCCTGATGCCAGACAGTTCAGTTCCTCCCCATATGTCCCCGTGCCTTTCATTCTGTTGCCCCAGAAGAGAAGCTCAGAGGGAATATGATTAAGTCTGTGTGTGAGTCCTTTAAGAGAAACTGACTGGGATTCTAGCAACCCTCCATCGCCCTCAGCCTCAATCCTTGCTGGCTTTTACAGCCTGTAGTTATGGGGACTTCTCTTCCCAGCACTGGAACCCTGGGCTGAAGAGTCTGTTGTCTCAGGGGGGACCTCCTCAACTGAGATATTCCTCTCAATTTTTATCCACCATGAGTGGGTGTGGGAGCAGCCCATCCTGTGTCTGCACCTCTCTCACTAGCCATGATGTAGCTTTTTTGTATCCTTAGTGGTAGGACTTCTATTCAGCTAAATTTCAGGTGGCTTTGAATGATGCCTATTCTATAGTTCTGTTGTATTTCTAATGTGGTTGTGAGAGGCTGCGAGGACTACAATTATCTATGTAGCCGTCTGGACCTGAATGAATAGGTATGATCTGGGGCTCCCCTCAGGGCAGAGACTATAACCCCAGAGGTGCTCTGAACCTCTGGGCACAGACTTCCTTCTGCACCTGGAAGGAGTTATTCTACTTTTTAAAAAATGTTTTTATTGATTTTTTTAGAGAGAGGTAGGGAGAGAGAAACATTGAAGTGAGAAACATCGATCGGCTGCCTCGTGCATGCCCCCTACTGGGGACTGAGCCTGCAACCCAGGCATGTGCCCTGACCAGTAATCGAACTGGGACCTTTCAGTCAATGGTACGATGCTCAATCCACTCAGCCACACTGGCTGGGCTATTTTTTTTTTTTTTTTTTTTTATCCTCACCCGAGGACATTTTTCCATTTTTTTTGTTCAGGTAGAGAGGGAGGGAGAGAGAGAGGAACAGAGAGAGAGAGAGAGAGAGAAATATCGACGTGAAAGGGACACATCGAGTGGCTGCCACCCGCACAACCGACCAGGGCCGGGGACAAACTGCAACCGAGGTACGCGCCCTTAGCGGGAACCGAACCCGGGTCTCTCAGGACCGCAGGCCGACGCTCTAACCACTGAGCCAAACCGGCCAGGGCTGGGCTATTCTATTTTTTTAAATATTTTGGTATTTTTACAAAATGAAAATTTTGAATTATAGGGATTTTATTGTTTATATACCATTTATTATTAGTAACTATTATTTTTTTAATCCTCACCCGAGGATATTTTTTCCTTGATTTTAGAGTGGGAGGGAGAGAGAGAGGGAACGAGGGAACATTGATGCACTACCTGACTGGAGCCGGGGATTAAACCCACAACTGAGGTACTTACCCTTGACCAGGAATCAAACTGGCGACTCTTTCACTCTAAGCACTGAGCCAAACTGGCCAGGGCTATTATGGTTTATGTTTGTGCTAGGCTTTAAGAAATGAGGAGTCACCAACATCCTCAGGGTTTTCACATGAACTTTTAGGGTGCTAAAAACTTAGGAGTGTTCTGTCTACCACCTATACAAGTCCCAGATAAAAAACAAACTCTTGTTGACAATTACTGAGGGAGGGAGGTGGTAAAGGGGAGCTCGCAGCCCTCCAGAGCTTTAAGTCCACATGCTTCAGTCCAACAGAGGGTGCTAACCCACACGACACTGCAAAGGGTCAGGATTTATGCCAAACAGTTCTTACTTGGATACATGTTATTTTATCAGAATGTGCAGTGGTGAGAGGTGTATTATTACCAGTTCTATACTATTTCACAAAAAAATGAACTTACCAAGAAGTCTTTCATCATTCTTGGAGAAAAAGAAAAATCTAGTGGTCTCTTTCTCAGGTAATGATACTTCTCTGGAGGGAGGGAAGGGGGGGGAGACGAAGGGTGAGAGAGAGAAAGAGAGAGAGAGAGAGATTAATCTCTATATTTAAGAAGAAATATTTACATTGAAAATATAAATGAACTATTCCTTAACTATATTTGCTTTGTGTTTTATTTATTTTGCTGTGTTAAAGTAACCTCATGCTCTTTCTATTCAACATTCTCTCTTTCACCAGAAGCTTTGGTAATGAAGACTTGTTCAAGTCCAAGCTCTATCTTCCCCACACTGGCTGCTCAAACTTTCACCCTACCTTTGCCAAACTGTTTACCAATGTTTCCCACAGAGTGGCAGCCAGCCAGGGGCAGCATCCTTTTTCCAGACCAGGGACTTCAGTGTCAGGCTCTCTTCCCTGTGCACATCATATCTCCCACCTAGTGCTATTCAAGTATCAAGAATCTTTTAGAATATTCTGATGCATGTCTAACTTGGTTTCACAAATTACGAAGTCTACCTGTACAAAAACAATTTGCTTACCCAGGGCTGGGATTTCTATCATCTGTTTGTTCCATAACATCTTCTTCTTCTGAACTGCTGTCTTGGAAATGAGGGGCTCCCTGCCAGGCAGTCTTACCAGGTTTCACCGTCTCAACTCTATAGGTCCCTGTATCTTCATGACAATAGAAGATGACAGGATTATAACTAACAACCAAGTATTTCTGAACATACTCACTTGATTACTTTCACCATGTTAGCAAAAATCTCTACATTTACAAAATCTTAGTCAGTAATTTAAAATACTATACAATATTATAAAAAGATATGAAAACTAAGTTTATAACTGGGCAACATAGTTGGGAAAAAAAACCACAACAGAATAAGTGTGGCACCTGAGCTAGCATGAGAAGCCTTAAATAGAACCCGATATAGTGAAACCAGGTTTCCCTCCTGCTCATTCATTCATAAATGAACAAAGGTACATGTTTACATTTTCAACTTCCAAAATCTCGTTCTAGAACTGCTGAAAAAGCTACTGATATAAGATGTGGAGAGTCACCTCAGGACCCCAAAACTTCCCCAGTCCTTAAAGCACGTCTCCCAGGTCGCTGAGGTGTCAATCCAATTTCTCACACTTGGCTCTCAAAATTAGAATGAGATACGCAGGACACATGTGCTATTATGTCTTATCTAGAACGAAATTTGAAAAAATATTACATTGTTCCTCCTGCTAGAGGAACACCACTGAACAGCTAAGCACGTGGAGGCCATTTTAGCTGCGACTGCTGACGTAGAATACACTAATCAGGAGTGCACGTGTTCTGCACCTGCTTTTCATAATGCAGTGCAGAAAAGCTGCACATCTGTTCTGAACGCTAGGTGAAGAGGAGCCCCTAAGGAACATGTGTTTTTAACTTTTGTACCATGTTGGCCTTCAGAGGAAAACCTCCTGAAGTGGAATGCAAATACTGGTATTGGTATTTTTCTCTAGGTTCTGGCAAATCTTCAAGGATAAAGTTGGAAACAACTGGCATAGGAATGAGACAGCACACTTGCATAAAGCCAAGGTTACCTGTTTCTTCCTTTCCCCTACCCTACAGTACTGGCTTTCCATATGTCACGGCTTCTCCAAATGCATTTAAGATATGAAGCTATTTAAATGTATGACCATTTTTCTCTACTCCACAGAAGGTAAGCTGCACGTTATTCTCTAGCTTCCCTTCATACGATAGAAGTTTGCTCCCTTAAAGCAGAAACGATGATCTGCTGTGTGGTTATGTGACACTGAACCACATATTGTTTTAGGTGCAAGAAAGAGTCCTTTCTTCAACTAATGTTAAATCATTACATTTAATGTAGACTCAGTTAATTAAGTTTAAAATGCCTAGAATGAACTAGTAAAAAAAAAAAAAGTACCTTCTTTTATATCTTTAGTGTCTGAATCAAAAAAGGAAAACGTGAACCCGCTGGGCTGCTCAGCACCCATCACTGGAGCTGCAGAGTCAAGGGCTTCCTTGGCTTTCTCTTCATCACAGTCCACATTCCAGGGCACATCTTTCTTTTCAGTGGTATCTTTTGTAGTTTGGAATATTTCTTTTAAATCCATAGCGATGTTATAATACATTTCTTTAGACACCATGGGTAGCTTCTCAGATTCCTCTTTTTTCTTCTTTCGCTTTGCTTTACTACATTGACATAGACATATGTACCACAATTAAATAGTCCATTTTTGGACAATTTCCAAAAATCAAAAAAGTAAAATAACATGGATAACTTTAATTCCACTCTTTGAAACCAGCAGGATCCACATATATAAAACTCTACTCATAAAAGCAGAACCTTGACCAATAAACTTTTCAAACACAAAAATATCTCTAACAGCTCCAAGCATTTAAAATGATTCATGTTCTATCTCTTATCCCCTGATCTACAATTCAGAAATTACACATAAGATATTTGCTTGAGTAAGAAAACTCACTTACACAATGCACCTCAGTTTCCATATGTGCAAAATGAACATGTTAAATCAAGTGACTCTAAGACTTTTCCTAGTTCTACAATTCTGTTAGTTTTACAAAACTGGCATAAAATAATTTAGTTATAATTCTGTTTCAGAAATGAATTATAAATATGTTAAGTCGTATTTGTTTTGGGAATGAAATTTGTGTATTATCATAAACCTGCTCTATATTTAGGAATATGCTTTTCTCTTCAATCTTAAATAAAAAGTTGCACGGCAGTTTCCATTATTAAGTTTTTAGCTAATAAAAGATTAAAATCCTTTTTCCTATTAGAGCTGACTCCGCATATGAGGAGTAATGTCAGGCCAAAATTCTAACTGTATTACTAAAATAGTAAGGGAACAAGATGTCCTAAATGACTGTCTTATTGGTGAAGACTATCTTACAGTGAGAGATTTTTAATATTTCCAACCTAGCTAGAATTTAAATCAGCTATGCCTCCTATGAAAGCAAACTATAAAGAAATGTCATCCTTTAGATCAGTGGTTCTCAACCTTCCTAATGCTGTGACCCTTTAATACACTTCCTCATGTTGTGGTGACCCCCAACCATAAAATTATTTTCATTGCCACTTCATAACTATAATTTTGCTACTGTTATGTCTTAGGCGACCCCTGTGAAAGGGTCGTTTGACCCCCAAAGGGGTTGCGACCCATAGGTTGAGAACTGCTGCTTTAGATAGTTCCAAGTGATTATCACTGAGCTATGATGTAGTGGTTTTAAAGTGTTCCAAAGATATTTTTAAAAAATATTTTTTCTTTATTGATTATTAGAGGAAAGGAAGGGAGAGGGGGAGAGAAATAGAAAGATTAATGAGAGAGAACATCAATTGGCCGCCTCCTACATGCACCCCACTGGGGATCGGGCCCACAACCTGGGCATGTGCCCTGACTGGAAATCGAACCAGTTATCTCCTAGTATGTGGGGTCGACACTCAACCACTAAGCCACACAGGCCGGGCCCAAAGATTTTTTTTTCTTTTTTCCTCACCCGAGGACATTTTCCCATTTTTTGTAAAAATAGAGTGGGAGGGGGAGAGAGAGAGAGAAACATCGACATGAAAGGGACACATCGAGTGGCTGCCACCCGCACAACCAACCAGGGCCGGGGACAAACTGCAACCAAGGTACATGCCCTTAGCAGGAACCGAACCCGGGTCTCTCCGGACCGCAGGCTGATGCTCTAACTGCTGAGCCAAACCGGCCAGGGCCCAAAGATTTTTTTGATACACCTTTCTCTAAGTGGTTGGATGAATTCCCCCATTCCTTGACCTTTTTAACCAATAGAATAAGGCAGATGTGATAGTGTGTGACTACTAACACTAGGGTCATAGAATGTATTTTGGTTTTCTCCTTGCTCTTTCTCTTTTCTGGATCAGTGGATTTGGGGAAAGCAGCTACCATTTTGTGAGGGAACTCAAATAGCCAAGGGGAGAGCCCAGATGCCAGGAACTTAGGCTTCCTGCCAATGGCCATGTGCCTGCTCCATCTTGCACACAGATCTCAAGCCTTCAGATACTACAGCCCCAGCAACAACTTGACTGCAACCTCCTGAGCCAGAAGGATCTGGTGAAGCACTCCCAAATTCATGACCCAGAGAAACTGAAACCTAATAAATGTTTGAGATTTCAAACTGTTGGGTTTTGGGGCAATTTTTAGATAGCAGTACATAATTGATACAGATTTGGGGGACCTAAAAGTGGAGTGCTGCTGTAATATGAACCTAAAATGAAGGAGTGGTTTCAGAGCCTAAGCAATGGGCAAAAATTGGTAGGTTAGTAAAGGTGTTAGCAAAATCCTGCAGAGGCCTCAGAAGACTGTTAGTGGAAACTGCCTGGCCAGTGGAGAGGCTGTAGTAAGGGTGTGCAGGGAAGTGAGGTGAATGCTGTTGAGAAAGTGGAGGAAAGGGGATCCTCGCTATGTAGGGACAGAGAGTTTAGCAACACTCTCACCATTATTAATGTGGGAAGTACAAAATGCACCTAATGAACAAGGTGTTCTAGATAAGGAGATGTCTAGGAAGGTGATGAAGGCATTTTCTGGTTTCTTCTTGATGCTTAACACAAAATGTGAGCAGAGATAGTGACACTAAAGGAGAAAAAAAATTTATAAGGAGCCAGGATCTCATGGTTTGGAAGACTCCTAATCTCCAGGAGACAAATGACACGAAATTTAATAAATAGCTTCTAAGCAAAGATCAAATCTAAGACTTTCAGAAAAACATAATATAAAGCAGATGTTGGCAAACTATGGCACACAGGCTAAATCCAGGTTGCTGCCTATTTATGTATGTACAAGTTAAGAATATTTTTTATAGTTTAAAATGGTTAGGAAAAAAAGTAAAAGATGAGTTTGTGACATTCACCAATTATATGTAACACAAACGTCAGTGTCCTACTCATAGTTTTACTGAAACACAGGCTCCCTCATTTGCTACAAAGGCAGAGTGGAGTCACTGCAGCAGACCGTCTGACCCTAAGCAGAAATCTCTGTATTCTCCATTCTACATATAAAACAAATTCTTTTGTTAAAACAGTACACATTGCTCAGAAACTCCAATTGTTCAAACAGTAAGGCTTGTACGGAGTTTAAAGATGATGTCTCTCAGCAGAAGACCCCAATAAAAAAGGCTGATCTCAAAATGATATCTGGTGTGGCCTTTTGTCTAACGGAATGAGCCCAAGAATATTCACAGGAGACTCACATATTTTAAGAGACTTATATTAACAGAAATACCCCCAGCTTGAACTGGTAAGTATAAACAAGAGGCTTTTAGACTCCCATATTTCTATAATCACAATGCGGGCTGAGACAATTACTCAGCTGCAAACACAAGCTACCATTCATGAAAAAAAAAGATAACCCAGCCCTGGCTAGTTTGGCTCAGCATTTAGAGCGTCGGCCTGAGGAACAAAGAGTTGGAGGTTCGATTTCCGGTCAAGGGCACATATGAAAACCAACCAATGAACACATAAATATGTGGAACATCAATCGATGGCTCTTTTCCTCTCTCTGTAAAATCAGTAACTATACTTAAAAAAAAAAAAAGATGATTCAGAAGGCAGAGTCAAGAACTATGGAGAATTATTCTAATAAAAGATCTTGCAACATTTGCCTGTCTAGGTTTCACAGCTCCTATGGACCAGTGACTCGGAGCCTCCTGTTTTCTCTGTTGAGTAGTAGTACTGGTTACATTAGACTGGTTAGTCTGTGTTTGTCCTAACACCACATGTTCACAGGTCTTCTAATCAAAAAGGCTGCACTCAAGGTGTTGTACTCGAAGAACAATAGATAAGCCTCACCTGCACTTAGATCTTATTTGGATGACAACATCCTGGGTTTTGAACTAATAATGTAAAGAGCTGACACTTCTGGGGAGTCTAGGGAGGGGGTAAAAATATTCTGCATATAGTAGGAATGTAAACAATTTGTGGCCAAAGGGTGGATTTTTGTGGTTTAAAATATGTCCACAAATTCCTCAACACTTCTCCCTTCAAGAGGTGTCAGTTCAACTCCCCATGAAAGTATCAGCTGACTTAGTGACTTGGTTCAAGAAAGCTAAGTAAGGCTGATGTGTCAGTGTGTGCCTCCTAAAACTAGGTCCTAAGATACACTATGGCTTCCTCCTTCTGTCCTGGGTCACTTGCTTGGGAAGCCAGCTGTCATGTTACGAGGGCACATAAACTGTCTAGTAGAGAGGCCAACAGTGCAGGAATTGGCCAACAACCATGGGAGCGAGCCATCTTGGAAGCAGACCATACAGGTTCTGAAGTCAGAATTTCAGAGACTGAGGCCTTAGGCAACATTCTGACTGCAATATACACACACAGAGAAGAGGCACCCAGCCCTGGCCGGCTTGGCTCAGAGGTTAGAGCGTCGGCCTGCGGTCCTGAGAGACCCGGGTTCGGTTCCCGCTAAGGGCAAGTACCTCGGTTGCAGTGTGTCCCCGGCCCTGGTTGGTCGTGCGGGTGGCAGCCACTCGATGTGTCCCTTCACATCGATGTTTCTCTCTCTCTCTGTTCCTCTCTCTCCCTCCCACTCTACCTGAACAAAAAAAAAAAAGAAGAGGCACCCATGGGATGGAGGCAAAGACCTAAATAACAGAGCCACAAGCCAAGGAATACCATGAATTGCTGGCAGTCCCCTGGAGCTGAGACAGAGAGAGATGTGAAATGGATTTTTATCCTGAATCTCCAGAAGGAATGCAGGCCATCCAATAATCTTGATTTTAGACTCCTAGCCTTCAGAACTGTGAGAAATCAATTTCTGTGGTTTTAACTACCAAGTTTATGGTAATCTGTTACAGCAGCTAGGAGAAACTAATATAAGCAGGAGGCACCGTACCAGAGTTGGTGCACATAATATTCTTTCCTCACATGAGATCCCTTTGTTGGGTAAGGCTCTCTCTACCACATTCATAACTCCACTAGAACATTTTCCTCCCCAGTCTTAAATTAAACACAGTGGAAACCAATGGATGGGATATCCACTACTATCTATTTTTTTTATTGTCTGAAGTGGGATTAATACATATGATCCTGCTACTAAAAGAAAGAAGGAGCTTTATTTACCTTTTTTTTTGGTTTATCATCTCTCTTTTTTTCGTAAGTGGCATGGTCATGCCTTGTTGGATCATAGTGTATGATGTCCCTATGTAAAAAAAGGAGTGGTAAGTTGGAAGAGATAAATCAGAACATTAATGGATAAAGTGAATAGCAAATTATAATTCAACACCAAAGCCATTCCAATTTTTGAGCAAGACAAAGCTACACAATATCAAAGACAAAAAATATCATTTAGAAATATTTTAAATGATCTAGTTTTGAATTTCCCTGGATCTTTTTGTTAAAATTTCTATTGAAAATTATTTTAAACATACTAAAACATAAAGAAATAAAACGGTATACTATTGGGATGTGCATAAACTATTTCAGTGGGGAAAGCCGGGGGAAGTGAGTCAAGGTACAGAAAAGAAAGCTTGGCCACATGTTGGTGATGCAGAACAGAGGTTTCATTACATTAGCTTCTCTAAATTACATGTTTAAAAATTTCCATAATAGTTACATTTGTTAACATTTAGACTGCTGCCCAATTATTTCAATAATGCAAGCAATGCTGCTATGATATCTAAGGGCAGAAATACATAAGTAAGCTAAGATTAGTGCCTCGAAATTGAATCACTGGGTCAATGGTAGGTATATTTTTAAACTTGCCTTAGCAAGTTCAAAATGGCCCAGTTTTAAATGGAGTTCAAGGAGGCATTTATGGCAAAGAAAAAGAATGTGTAATGGGACAGGATATAAGCCATACTTAAATTTTTTAGCAGCTACGGATCCTTTGCTTGTAGAATTGCTTAGGTTGGTGTGCAAAATACTCTGCACGATGTTCAGGGCTTTCAGCTTCTCTGCAGCAAGCTCTTCGTTCTCAGTCGTTTTCTTTTCGTCTACCTCTTAGAAGGAAAAGGATAATTAGTACTCTCTTGGCAAATATAACTGGAGAAGTCTCAATCATCAAACACTCATCAGTCACCTGCACACACTGAGACTGGAAGAAAAGTGAAACCTCATTCTGTTGACCTCCCTGTCCCCAAGACTCTCAACAACACAATGCTTACATGTTGATTGGGCAGCAAACACAAAGTCTCGTTTTTATGTGTAATTATAAAAACTGAGTCTGGATTTAATGGTTTTCATTGGCACATGTAACAGTTTTTACGGTAAAGACTGACAAATGTATAGAGAAAGATATTAATTACAAAACTAAAAGTATTCCAGACTGAGTTTATTAACATTCTAAAAATGTAATCTAAATTACATAAAATTTTAAAAGTAAAAGATGGCAATGTACTGACTGATAATATATTAGCAGACTGTTGCTTCACTCTTTGCTGCAGTAATAAATATTGCAGGAAGAGAGCCAGAGGCCTACATACAGGGCATCATGGAGGGCTGTAAGCCGTTATCCTCCACTACTAGCAAGAGACAAATATCAGGGGAGAAAGTTTAACAGCTACTTTGGATTACAGATAGAAGCACAAAAGAAGTCTAAGCCTTAAAGATGCTTTCCACTTTTCACAGAATACAAATCAGGGGTGGGGAATCTTTTTTTCTGCAAAGGGACATTTGGATATTTATAACATCATTTGTGGGCCATAAAAAATTATCAACTTAGCCCTGGCCAGTTTGGCTCAGCAGTTAGACCATCGGCCTGCGGTCCAGAGAGACCTGGGTTCGGTTCCTGCTAGGGGCACGTACCTCAGTTGCAGTTTGTCCCCAGCCCTGGTTGGGTCGTGCGGGTGGCAGCCACTCGATGTGTCCCTTTCACATCGATGTTTCTCTCTCTGTCTCTCCCTCCTACCCTATCTGAACAAAAAATGGAAAAAAATGTCCTCAGGTGAGGATAAAAAAAAAATTAATCAACTTAAAACTTAGCCTGCTCTATTTGGTCAGGCTAATTTGGTGAAGTGCATGATGTTAACTGGTATTGATTTCGAGGGCCTTATATAGCCTGTGGGCCAGACATTCCCCATCCTTGATATAAACCAAGATACACAAACTAAAACAAACACACAAAAAAAACTGATTTGAAAAATGTCTCTATAGAGATGTCCCAAAAGTTTCTAAGGGTTCAAAGGAGATATAGATTATGTTCCACTGAATGAAAAAAATGCTTTATAAACTAGGTGGAGTGTAAGGAAGACAGACAAAGTGATAGGCATGGCAGGTATAGGAAAACAAAATGAATACGTATATTTTAAAAAGTACAAAAGAGTTTCATGCTGCATTAGGTTGAACCACATGAAATTAGCAATATTCAACAATTTTTTACTTTGAAAATGGCAATTTCAATTTTTTTTTTCAGTCCTCACCCGAGGACATTTTTTTTTTGCATTTTTTGATACTTTGTTCAGATAGAGTGGGAGGGAGAGAGAGAGAGAGAGAGAAACATCGACGTGAAAGGGACACATCGAGTGGTTGCCACCCCCACGACCCAACCAGGGCTGGGGACAAACTGCAACCGAGGTACATGCCCTTAGCGGGAAATGAACCCGGGTCTCTCTGGACCGCAGGCCAACGCTCCAACTGCTGAGCCAAACTGGCCAGGGAGGCAATTTCAATTTTAACCTAGTAACGACCACTAGGTAGCACACAAAAGGGCTTAAGGTGTTTGTAGGCTGGCAGTGCTGCTTACCTGCAAAACGGTCTTTGCAGTTCACAGAAAGTGAGCCTCAAAAGTGGGGAAGAAAACACAAGGACAGAGGCTCTGTGTCTGAGTCAGAATGGAAGAGCCAGCAGCAGAAACAAGGGTTTGGAGCAGCCAAGAGACTCAAGTTGGGACATGAATGTTAACATGGCCCAGGAGTACCTGTGAGAAACATCCACTGGGCACCGAGAAAGGGATAAATGGGGCTCAGCAGAGCAGTCAGACTCAAAGGTGACCTAAATGTGGAAATCACTCGAGAGAGAAGGCTAAAGCAACGGGAACTTGCAGAACCTTGGGAAGAGCCTACACCTGGAGGCAAAGGGGAAAGTAGAAACCAAGAGAAGAACAAAGTCATGGTATGATGGAAAGCAAAGGGAAGAGAGCACTTCAAGAAGGGGACAGACGTGTGGGCTGACAGTGCGAAGCTGGAGAAGATGCCCTGCACTTGGTGCATGCGGAACACGTAGCTTCTGAGGTAACACACAGCAGCTTCTAGTCTGTCTGTAAAGCGACAGCCCAAGTGGCAGGAGTTAAGGAAGTAACCTCTCTCTATATGAGGCTTCTAAATGTAGGCTATTTCCAAGGTTCTGTCCATTCCCATTTTCAACATGGGATTTTGAGTGAGATGCTCGGAAATATAAGTAGGTATGGGCCCTGGAGAATTCAATCTTTGAACTCTGGTTTCTGGAAATGCATAATACACATAACAATCAGCTCAAAGAAATGACATAATCAAACCAATTTCTTTCAAGTTTAGAACTAAAAAACAGAAGGGAGTTGGAACTCAAAAACTGGCAGGGTGCCCGGGCCGGTTTGGCTCAGTGGTTAAAGCATCAGCCTGCAGACCAGAGTCCCGAGTTCGATTCCCACTAAGGGCATGTACCTTGGTTGCAGTTTGTCCCCAAAACCGGTTGGGGTTGTATGGGTGGCGACCAGTCGATGTGTCTCTCTCATGTCAATGTTTCTCTCTCTCATCCCCCCTCTCCCTCCCGCTCTATCTGAAGATAAATGCAAAAAATGCCCTCGGGTGAAAATTAAGAAATAAAGAAATAAATAAATTGGCAGGGTTGAAGGAATGGCTTTTTGGGCCTACGAGGCCTTTCTCTGTTGAACAGGAAAGGATCTAGAAGACGGGGGAAGGATGAAGTCTGTGAGAAAGAGGGTGGTGGGATGTATGAGGGGGATTAAGGTGCAGGTGAGATGAACTCAGGAAGGAAACAGAGGTGTAAGAAAGATGTTCTGACACTGTAGAAGCAGAGAGCTCACTGGAGGACAAGCGTAGGTCTTCTAGAGAAAGTTTAGAACCACTGCTATGATAAAACCTAATGGAAGCAAAAAACAGTAAATTTGGATGCTTTAGACAGCATCATTACTGTTAGAACCAAATAAGGATGAATTCAAGTAGAATGGCAATCAACAGTATATTACTTTTTAAAAAATCTGCACCCAGCCCTGGCTGGTGTGGCTTAGCAATTAGAGTGTTGGCCCGAGGACCAATGAGTTGTGGGTTCGATTCTGGTCAAGGGCATGTACCTTGGTTGTGATTTGGGCCCTGGCCCTGGTTGGGGTCATACAGGAGGCAACAGGTTGATGTGTCTCTCTCACATCGACATTTCTCTCTCTCTTCCTCATCCTCCCTCCCAATCTATCTGAAGATAAATGGAAAAATATCCTAGGGTGAGGATAAAATAAATGAGTAAGTAAAAACCTGCACATACACAGCAGGGAAGATGAATACTCTCTTTCAGAAAGTCAACTGTGACTTAAGTGTCTTTCATGGCTTCATGTGGACCTCCGATTCTACTGCCAGAGGGACCTCACCTATTCTCTGTCAGAGATGGGACAGAGGAAGACGGTGCCTCTCGTAGGCACTATCTATTCCTCTCTTTTCTGGTAGCTTTAAGCAATTTAAATTTTCTAAATAAGTTAACATGTACAAGTGAACTCACGGAGTACTGAGTAAGCTAAACACTGGATTACAAGCTTCATAATCCAAGGTTTTGGGATGTAGAGTTTCTCCATGTGTTAAGCAAGAGCTAGACTAGATGACTTCTCTCAGACTGTCCCGACTCTGACATCAGGACTGTTTGGAGAATGAGGCCTTTACCTTCCTGTTCTTCTTCACTGTCACTTTCCAGAAATCGGGAATCCATGCGAAATCTGTCATCAGTGCCAAAGTGAGACTGCAAATCCATGAGCTGCAAAGACAACACATACATACAACTGACAGCCATAGTCCCAAGAAATAGCCTCTCAAGAAGACCCCCCAAATGCCCTCCCGCATCCTGAAATTCCAGTTAACATTTGCATAACTTCAACCACCCATGAGCCAGTCGAACAGTCGTGGAGTATTTACTTCCAAAACAAACAGTTAAACACTGGAGTGTGGGACAGTCTTCCAGCATCTGCCTAGACTTACAGACTATGCCAAAAATAAGGACAAGCTGCAAGCATGATCATTTTCAGTCTTTACTAACCTTCTTTCCAGCCCTACCCTCAAATTGAGGTTTAATTCTGAACCGACTGCTGTTGTCTTCGGCATCAGACTCCTCATCGCTGCTGTCAAAGAGCTTCCCAGATGTTCGACTCAAGAACTCCTGTTACACAGAGAAGACAGAAATGTTTACTAAAAACTGAGGCAGTGTTTTCTTCATCATGGAATCTGCCCCCTCCACTTTAAGGACCAACAACCCAGATGCCTTTCCCAGGAAAGAGTGGATGGTGGTTAGAATGAAAACTCCCGACTCAGTGACCTCTACTCGGCCTTTCAGGCCACACAGAGGCTCCCAGTGCAGTCAAGTGAGAGCACGGGGAAAGGAGGACAGCTGTTCTGGATGTGAGAGCAACTCCGACGGATTTCACTAGTATCGACGTCACTGTGTAGATGATGAGGTTTGTGTGGGAGAAAATCTCCAAGGTCCCTGCAGTCTGTGTGGGGTGGACTGGGAGCCCTAGCATCCTGTGGCCCCGGAAGAGTTGAGCCTGCAGCTGTGTGCAGGTCCTGGTAGGCAAATGGGTCTGCAGAGACAGAAGTGCCCACACAGACACCCCGAACTCTTACTTTTACTGGTTTCTCTGCCAGGTGGCTTTGCTCCCAAGTGGACGTCTCCTTTGTCTCACTTTCACTGTCAGAACCAAAGATGATGTGCATCCGCTTGTCCTCTGGAGGACCATCCTAGAGTGGTCATCAAAGGCATCACATCTTAAGACAGCCCCTCATCTCCATTCCCTGCCATGCTTACTTCCCATCAAGTGAATGCAATCGTCCACTTATTTTCCCAAGATAGACACTTCTCTTTATATATCCTGTTGATCACCAAGTCCCATGAATTGGACCTTCCTGGTATCTTTTTTTTTTTTTTAATCCTCACCTGAGGACATTTTTTTCATTTTTTGTTCAGATCAAGTGGGAGGGAGAGAGAGAGAGAAACATTGACGTGAAAGGGACACATAGAGTGGTTGCCACCCACACGACCCAACCAGGGCCAGGGAAAAACTGCAACCGAGGTTTGTGCCCTTAGCAGGAACCGAACCTGGGTCTCTTTGGACCACAGGCCGACACTCTAACAATGAGCCAAACCGGCCAGGGCGGCATCTTCTTTTTTAAATTACATTTTTATTGATTTTTAGAGAGAGTAAGAAAAAAAGAGAAAGAGATAGAAACTTTGATGTGAGAGAGAACCATTGTTGGCTGCCTTCTGCATACTCCCACTGGGGATCAAGCCACCAACATGAGCATGTGCCCTCACCAGTAATGGAACCGGTGACCTCTTGGTACATGGGGCAACACTCAACTACCGAGCCACACTGGCTAAGCCCTTGGTATCTTTTAAATGTATTCTTACTGACCTGGCCGATTTGCTCAGCAGTTAGAGCGTCGGCCTGCGGTCCGGAGAGACCAGGGTTCGCTTCCCGCTGGGGGCGCGTACCTGTTGCAGTTTGTCCCCGGCCCTGGTTGGGTCGTGCGGGTGGCGACCACTCGATGTGTCCCTTTCACGTTGATGTTTCTCTTTCTCTCTCCCAATCTATCTGAACAAAATATGGAAAAGTATGCTCGGGTGAGGATTAAAAAAAAAAAAAAGTATTCTTACTGCCTGGCTGGTGTGGCTCAGTGGTTGAATGTCGACCCATGCACCAAGACGTTGCTGGTTCGATTCCCGATCAAGGCACATGTTGTGGGCTCAATCCCCAGTGGGGGGCATGCAGGAAGCGGCCAATTGATGTTCTCTCTCATCGATGTTTCTATCTCTCTCTTCCTCCCTTCCTCTCTAAAATCAATAAAAGAAAAATTAAAAATAAAAAAAACCAATAAAGCCCTGGCCTGTTTGGCTCAGCGGTTAGAGCGTCCGCCTGTGGTCCGGAGAGACCCGGGTTCGGTTCCCGCTAAGGGCATGTACCTCGGTTGCAGTTTGTCCCCGGCCCTGGTTGGTCGTGCGGGTGGCAGCCACTCGATGTGTCCCTTTCACATCGATGTTTCCCTCTCTCTCTCTTCCTCTCTCTCCCTCCCACTCTGTCTGTACAAAAAATGGAAAAATGTCCTCGGGTGAGGATAAAAAAAAAAAACAAACAAAAAAAACCCAATAAAAAGCCCTGGCCGGTTTGGCTCAGCAGTTAGAGTGTCAGCCTGCGGTCCAGAGAGACCCGGGTTCGGTTCCTGCTAAGGGCACGTACCTTGGTTGCAGTTTGTCCCTGGCCCTGGTTGGTCATGCAAGTAGCAGCCACTCGATATGTCCCTTTCATATCGATATTTCTCTCTTTCTCTCCCCCTCCTACTTTATCTGAACAAAAATTGGAAAAATGTGCTTGGGTGAGGAAAAAAAAACCCAAAACAATAAAAACATAAATAAGTGAATAAATGAATGGATGAATGAATGTATTCTCACTGCTACTGCCTTGGTTCTGGCTCATGACCTCCCAAAGGCTGACCCTGGTTCTAGATTTCCCTCATCTGATATTGTTCATCGTGGCCTGAACGATCTTTCCCAAACTGAGTTTGGCAAACTTTTCTCTAAAGAGCCAGAGAAAAAGTTCAGTTTTGCAGCCTTGGTCCTGTATTCTTTTTCAAAAAACGCTTTAAAAATGTAAAAACCATTTTTCTCTTGGAGCTGTACCTGCACAGACTGTGTGCTGCAGTTTGCCAACTCCTGTTTTAATATATATAATACAATGAATACCTTTGCTTAATGTTCTTCCCTATTTCCACAGCCTTACAATCAAGTCCAACCTCTGCAGCCTCTTCACAACCCCTTCTCTTTCTCGTCTTCTTTCTTTCCACCTCATACTTTATACATTTCAGTCACACACATTTCCCTATTGTATGAATTGCTTCATGAAATGCCTTTCCTCTCCCTCCCCACCTTTTACCTCTGCCCAGTTTATACTGATCTTCTCACTGGACTCCATTCAGGCTGAGGAAACCCTCTTCTCTCATCCTCCTAAGCAACTGGTGCCTCCCAGGCACATGGGCATACTTCTCTCTTGACCTGTGGAACTCAACTGCCACCTTCTGCACACCACACTATGAGCCAAGAGCTACCTGAGGCAGGGTCATGATTCTTGTCCTCATTCCATTAATCTAGTCCTTACAGTGAAGGCCTAGAACTTCATAGGACCCAACAGCCGTTGTGATTTATATGTAAATTTGGACACATAACTATACCAGTTGTAGTTTTTAAAGAAAACCATGAAAAAGGAAAATAGATTAAAAACAAATTAAAAATGGTTTTCATAAAGTTGAATCTCATTCCACTGGGATATACTAAAAACATGCATGGTGATAAAAGCTTCTAACTTAAGGACAAAAAAACATGAAACCAGTGGGCGCTAAGATACTGACCTCTCATGGGGCACACCTACCTTCACAGGAAGAAAAAGCATGCAATTTTAGAGTTCTTGTTAAACCACAGTCTGAAAACATACTCACCAAATTTGCCAGGGCACTGTGAACCAGTTTCTTCTGTACTTCCTTTGCTCTCTGCCTGGCCTCTAAGGCTGACACACGCTTCTGATTATCTTCGGCACGCTTATCCCTGACACTGACATCTGATGACCTACCAAGAGACTGTGGGAAGTCAGTTCTGCTCCCCTGTGGCTTTGTCCCGGGGGAGACCTCTGGTGATTTCTCCGGGACCATGTGGCTGGTTAGATCCGGCCTCTTCTCAGAGCCTTCTCTTGTCTTTGTGGTAAAGACTTTCCTGGGGGTCTGTGCACTAAGACTTACAGATTTCTTATCTTTTACAGTCAACAGACTAGAAACAGAATTTCTACTTCCGTTTTCTGAACTGCTAGGGGGCACCACTTTATGATTCTGGGTCTTAAAAGTAAACTGTCCCTGTTGAAGCTGAATATGGTTTGGGTCATCGGTTTTCTTTGCACATTGGTAAGTAGTCAGTTTGCTTGATGAGCCATTTGCATCTGGGAAGCCCTTCTCCACTGACATGCTAGTGGGCTCCTCAGGTTTCAAGGAGTTCTGGTTTTTATTAATATTGCTATAGGCAACATTCTCTTTCAAGGGTTTTCCCACTGATTCCTTTCCATAGAGGCAGCCTACTCCCCTGAATGCCCGGAATTTTAGCTTTAAGTTGTTTTCCTCTGGTTTCTGTTCTCTAGGGGAGTTCTCTTCTTCTAAAAGGGAAGCCAGGATCTCTTCAGGACAAATACACTGTCGACCTCTGTGGCTCTTGGAGGCTCTGTCACACGTGGAGGTGGTCTCCCAGCCAGCACTCTCAGCATCTTCTTCTGGAGCCTTCAGGTTACTGCTAGCCAACCGTCCCAGATCAGCCAGAGTAAGAGACACACGAAGGCAGTTTTTCATCATGGCGTTGTACTCATCTTCCTCAGACTCAGCTGATTCTGCATCTTCATTGCTACTGGAGTTGGAGAGAGATTTGTTACTAAGACGCTCAGCTCCATCACTGATGGCTAGCTCCACACTGTTTTTATTCTTCTGTACCTTAACACAATGATCAGAAGGCTCATAGTTTCTTCTGTTTTTCAAAGACGTTTTCTTGTATGTGGACTCCTCCACTTGTGAGAGTTCTGTGCTCTTCTTCACCTTACTGACGTTTTCTTTCATTGCAGTATCATCAGCATCTCCTGAATCATCGATGCAATCATTTCCCACATCATTTTCACTGTCAAGGCACGATTTTATGCCTAAACCTGTTAAACAAAGTTTGTGAACATCTGCTTTGGAATCATCCCTTACAACTTCAAAGGGATCAGAGTTAGATTCACTGATTGAGGACCATGGAGTCCTCTCTAAGTTTTCCTGTCTTGCAATCATTAGCCTTAATTCATCCTCAGAATTGTTAGCATCATCAGATAGCCTTAATTCATCATCAGAATTGTTAGACATGCTATTTTTGTTCCCAGTATTTTCAAAGCCAGAAGCCTGAAAAGGCACACCTTTAAGTCTCTGACCATCAGAACTGGGTGCACAGGGGGATGTAAGAGCAATGGGGTCACCACAGACTTCTTGCAAGGTCTGTTGCTGTGTTAACTGTGGATTCTCCGTTATTACCCTCCTAGGTCCTGGTCTCATAGCCAGAGCCATAGTGGGACTCTCATCCTTCTGCACTTTTACGATCTTCTTGGGAGGGCTGAAAAAGTCAGAAAATTTTCCTTGGCGTTTCTTACTCTCAGAATCATTCCCTCCTTCCAAGTCCCAAGTGAGATTGGATATAGAAATGACATTTGTGAAATCCTCCCCTATTTTTTTTAAGTTGTGGCAGTATTTTGATGGATCATACTTTATAATGTTTCCAAAGGTCAAGGAACAAAAGAAAGACACTAGGTTTTTAGGAAAACCCATTGATCTGATTAAGCAAAAGAAACACTGTTAAATCTTTTTTTTTTTTTACCTTTATTTTTACTGTTGAGGGTATTACTGATGTCCCTCATTTCCCCCTCCTCTGGCCCCTCCTCCCAGCTCCCGCCCACCCCAGGCCTTCACTGCACAATACTGTTTAATCTTACCCTCTGTTTCCTATCCCACAAAATGAGGATTTCACTAGGTGACCTTAGATTCTCTGGAATTAAGCATTCTATCCAGAGTGATAAAAAAGCACCATCACCATTAATCGGCAGAATATATACTTGTATGTAGCCATCAGAGCAAACTAATTCAGATTATATTCTAGATGCAGAGGCCCAAAGATTGTTTTCTATAAATCTGAGCAGTCTTGCCCTGGCTGGTTTGGCTCAGCGGTTGGAGCGTCGACCTGTGGACCAGAGAGTTCCGGGTTCGGTTTCCGCTAGGGGCACGTACAAAAATAAATAATAAATAGATAAATAAATAAGATAAATCTGAGCAGTCCATCCACTGAGCTAATGCTGTAGAGCAGAGTATAGAGGGGCACCCAAAGGGCACAGCTAGACACCACAGTCCTTGGGTCTCAAATTCTCTTGGCATTCCTGCCTTCTCAATACTGGCCTGTCCCAGCTCTGATTCTCCTAGCTTAATAACCTCCATTTAACATCTACTCCCTCTCTGCAGGGCGATTTGTAGGTCTTTATTAATAGCTAATAATTACTGCCAGGGCATGTTTCATTGCTAACATTATTGAGAAAGAATCTACTTAATGTCAATGTACTGTGATGACAGCTGGCATTTGCTGATTTCCTGAAACATAAGAACAGGCAATAATAAGTTGCTTCAAATGATCACCCCTGAAAAGTCTCTTTGTTCATTTAGTAACTACTGAATACATGCCAGATATATGAGGTCCATGGTCTCTCAGCTTCACACTTCCCTTCAATATCCTCCTCTTTGCTGATAGAGGCTGTCATTCGTGGGAAGCCGAGTAAAGCGGAAGAAAGGAGTCACTATTTCTCCGACTTCAGTGCTACCAGTAAGGAGAGTTCCAGAGGCCTCAGCAGCACAGTAGCCATAAGGACAGGCCTTTCTGCTTCTCTAATCCCAGCGTGGTAGTGGTTTGCTGCAGTTAGGAACCTCTGGGAAACTGATTTCAGCCTCTAGCCTCTCCAGCGCTTTTTAAACACATTGGATGTACTCTATCTCCTGTTTGGAACACTTGGACCTGCTTCTGCTTCCCTGACTGACTCACACTGTGAGAGCTGAAGATACACAAGTTACACCCTCTGCCCAGAAGTTCGTAACACTAGGAATTCAGTCTTAACGGCCTGACCTCATTTCCTCAAAGGAACAGGCATCTGAATTAGCTCATTCTGGGTCCCACTGTTTCTCTACCCACCATTATCATGCTTGTCTACATATTTCAATCTACTATTTTCCTCATTCCTAAACTCCTTCCTATCACTTTTCAAGCAATGTGAAGCCTACCCTACCCCTTGAAGAGCTTCTTTAACAAGGGCCCTATGTGCCCCTGCCCTACTGTTGGCCTTTCAGCAATGGCTTTGAGTCCATGTCAAGTGAGAGGAAGGGCATATACGTTATAAGTGAAAAAGTTTCTTTGACAATCATTACATGTATCACTTACTTATATAAAACCTCCCTGCGTTCTCTAATTAGTCTCTTAATTGTTCCATTCACGTAGTTGGTAAGATCTACCTTGCCGAGGTGGGAACATAAAAGTGTTAAATAAATATCTAAAGATTTCCTGACAGTGGCAGTGAAATCCTAAAGGTAGGAAGTAAACTTCTACAATTAGCCCAAACTGTGCTAAATAATAATAATTACTCTGAAAACCCAATTGCAAAGGATATTTTATGTTTATGTTGATTCTTTAGATGAAGAACAGGTAAGACTCTTCCAAATTTACTCACAACCCAATTCTAAAAAAAAAAAAAAAAAAAAAAATGCATTCACTGTATATGGCATAAATGAAAAAGATTAAGCATATTTCACAAACATATCTTAAAAAAAAATCTTCACTAAGAATATGTTTATTGATTTTAGAGAGAGGAGAAGGAGGGAGGGGGAGAAAGAGAAAGAAACATCAACTGGTTGCCTCCTATACATGCCCCAACTGGAGACCAATCCTGCATCCTAAGTATGTGTCCTGACTGGGAATCGAACAATCTTTTCATGTATGGGATGATGTTCCAACCAACTCAGCCACATGGCCAGGGTGAAAAATCTAACCTAAAAAAAATTTAAACTCACAGTTAGCCATGATTATTGTTGGGTTTAGTTTTCTGATAATGAAACATGAGTTCTCCAAAAAAAGTATGAAAAATGAAAAAAAGAAAGAAAAATGAAAGAAAAAAATTGGGGCAGCTAACGATCCCACAGAAACCATGTAGGATGCTACACAAAGACACCTGTTCTTGGTGACACCAGCAGCACTGCACTGTGAGGACCTCCCCTTGAAGTCACAACTTGGACAGCCATTATTAAAAACAGGACTCCCTGCTCAACAACCAAACGCCCCTGAGGGATCCATGCAATGAGACACCTAAAGGTGGGCATACCAGTGAACAGAAAAAGAAGGAAGAGAAGTGGAGGACAGACAGGAGTGGCAGATCCAGTCTGGTGCTCACTGCAGACACTACAAACAGGACAGCAGCAGTGAAGGGTCAGGGTGACACCACTGCCAGACAGAATGGAGGGGTAGAGGCAGCAACGGGCCTGGATGGCTGGCACACTGATCCAGGCTCATGGTCAGAGAAGGGTGTAGAGGACTACAGTGTTCCACAAGCTGCCAACACCAGAAAAAAAAAGCAGCCATCATGGGAATCCCCCTTCCCAATCCTCCAGTGGCCCACCCAGCATTAAAACCCTCACTTGGGCCCCGGCTGGTTTGGCTCAGCAGTTAAGAGCGTCAGCTCAGGGACTGAAGAGTTGTGGGTTCAATTACAGGTCAAAGGCATGTACCTGGGTTGTGGGTTCAATCCCTAGCCCCAGTCAGGGACTTGCGGGAGGCAACCAATCAATGTATCTCTCTCACAGCAATGTCTCTCTCTCTTTCCCTCCCCTCCTTCCACTCTATCTAAAAATTAGTGAAGCCCGGCCAGTGTGGCTCAGTGGTTGAGCGTTGACCCATGCACCAGGAGGTCGCTGGTTCGATTCCTGGTCAGGGCACATGCCCAGGTTGTGGGCCCAATCCCCAGTGTGGGGCATGCAGGATGTGGCCAATCGATGTTCTTTCTCATTGATGTTTCCCGTCCTCTCCCTCTCCCTTCCTCTCTAAAATCAATAAAGAAAAAAAATAAAAATAAATAAATAATAAATTATAAATAAAAATCAGTGGAAAAATATCCTCGGGTGAGGATTAACCAAAAATAAATAAATAAATAAAACCCTCCCTTCCCAGTTCATGAAAAGGCAAAAGCAGCATTCAAAACCTAAATGGTCAGTACACATTACAACTTAACCTACTAAAAAGAACAGAGCCTCAGATGTATGAAGCCACTTCTCACCTACCCCTCACCTGCCCATCATGGCAGAGCCTGGTAGAGGCAGCTGAGACATCCGAGACAGCAGTATGGCTGGCAGCTTCTGAATACAGGAGAGTGGTGCTTGGAGGCATGGACCAACAGACCCACAGCCTCCGATACACCACCACGGGAGTGGTTCCCTAAAGCTGAGGAGACTGGGTCTTAAAAAGGATGACTACCTCCTTGCAGGATATGGGGCAATTCCCACAACTGAGTAGACACCAATCCACAGAGATCAAGGAAGTCTCAGTAGCACATATAATTCTGGTCAAGGGCACGCACCCCGGTTGCGCCAGTTAGATCCCCAGCCAAGGTCGGGGTCGTGTCTCTCACATCGATGTTTCTCTCCCTCCTCCGCCCCCAACTCTATGTAAGAAAACCAATGGAAACATACCCTCTGGTGAGGATTAAAAAAGAAAAAGGTTGAAAATCGCTGTTTTAAACAGTGAAGAGTCAAACACTTAACAAAAAAGAGAGATTAAATTCCCACAAATGTCTAGACAGAGAAAAAAATTTATCAAGCACAATAAATAACAAAACTAACAAAGGACAAAGCAGTTCAGAAAGAAAACAAAAAAGATCCAGAAAATAAACTTAAAGACATGAAAGACTGATTAAAACGACAGCGAATTCAAGATCAGTCATAGAAAAACTCAACGAGATATAAGCAAATTTAAAAAACAATTCAACAAGCTCAGGAATGAAATCAATGAACAAAATGAGTACTTTACCAAACAAACCAAAACTTTAAACAGGAACCAATGAGAAATTCTGGATTCGAAGAACTCAATAAAAGAGATGAATAATGAACTAGCAAACACAGGACAGAGAGCCAGCCAGACGGAGGAACTCATCCATGATACTGGGGACAGAAATCTAGAAGTGACTCAGGTGGGAGAAGAGAGAACGGAGTAAAGCGTTAAAGAACCCCACTGGAGAGAGCAGTGTGAGAATGACGGGTGGGCAGTACAGTGGGAGAAGGGAGCAGGGCTTATTCAAACACAAACTGACAACTTTTCACACCTATGGAAAGAGCTAGACATTTGATCTAAGCCCTTCCTTATTTCACTGTCTCCGGCTTTCATAAAGGGACTCTCAAGAAAAAAAAAATCACCAAATATTAACGGCACCACAAACGACTAGGAAGAGTCAATGTAATCCTGAGAAAAAAGAACAAAGCTGGAGGTATCATATTAACCTCAAATTCTACTGTGAAGCTGCAATAATCAAAACAATATGGTATTGGCAAAAAACCAGACGCACAGGCCAATGGAACAGAATTCAGAACGCAGAAATTAACCCACATGTATATGGGCAAATAACTTTTGACAAAAAAGCCAAAAACATACAATGGAGAAAAGAAAGCCTCTTCAATAAATGATGCTGGCACCCTGGCCAGTTTGTTCAGTGGTTAGCGCATCGGCCTGCAGACCAAACAGTCGCAGGTTCTATTCCAGTCAAGGGCAGGTTCTATTCCAGTCAAGGGCAAATAACTCGGTTGCAGTTCATTCCTGGCCCTGGTTGGGGTCGAGCAGGAGGCAACCAGTCAATGTGTCTCTCTCACTTCTTCCTTCCCACTCTATCTGAGGATAAATGGAAAAGTGTCCCTGGGTGAGTATTAAAAATAAACACAGTGCTGGGAAAATTGGAAAGTAACATGGAAACAAATGAAACTACATCATTGTCTGTCCCCATGTACAAAAATTAACTAAAAGTAAAGACCTAAATATAAGACCTGAAATAATAAATTATAGAAAAAACAAAACAACAACAGAAAAAAACACAGGAACTAAACAAATGAATCTTGGTCTCAGAATTTGACCCAAAGGCAAGGGAAGTAAAAGCAAAAATGAATGAGTAGGATTATACCAAACTAAAATATTCTGCACAGCAGAGAAACCATCAACAAAACAAAAGGCAACCAATGGAATAAGAGGAAATATTTGCAAACAATATCTCTGATAAGGGGCACATATTGAAAATATAAATGAATTTATGCAACTCAACAAAAAACCAACAACAATCCAATTAAAAAATCGGCAGAGGAACTAAACAGGCACTTTTCCCAAGACATATAAATGGCCAACAGATTAATAAAAAGATGCTCAACTTCACTAGCTATTAGGGAAATGCAAATCAAAGCTACGAGGTACAACACCACACCTGTTAGAATGGCTATTATCAACAACATAAGTAATAAGTGTTGGAGAGGTTGTGGAGAAAAAAGGAACCCACATTCTCCCACACTGCTGGTGGGAATGTAAACAGGTAGAGCCACTATGGAAAACAGTATGGAGGGTCCTCAAAACATTGGATATAGAGCCCTGGCCAGTTTTGCTCAGTGGTTAGAGCATCGGCCTGCAGTCCAGAGAGACCTGGGTTCAGTTCCCGCTAAGGGCAAATACCTCGGTTGCAGTTTGTCCCCGGCCCTGGTTGGTTGTGTGGGTGGCAACCACTCGATGTGTTCCTTTCACGTCAATGTTTCTCCCTCTCTCTTCCTCTCTCTCCCTCCCAATCTGAACAAAAAAATAGAAAAATGTTCTTGAGTGAGGATAAAACAAACAAATAAACAAACAAAACCACATTAGATATAGAACTACCTTATGACCCTACAATCCCTCTTCTGAATATCTACCTGAAAAATTTGAAAACGTGTTCAGAAAGATGTATGCATCCCTATGTTCATTGCATCATTATTCACAGTAGCTGAGATGTGGAAACAACCTAATTATCTTTTGATGGATGACTGGATAAAGATGTGGTACAGTCCAGCCAGTGTGGCTCACTAGTTGAGCGTTGACCCATGTACCAAGAGGTTACCAGTTCTATTCCCAGTCAGGGCGCAAGCCCAGATTGTGGGCCCAATCCTCAGTGGGGGGGCATGCAGGAGGCGGCCAATCGATGTTCTCATCGATGTTTCTATCTCTCTCCCTCTCCCTACTTCTCTCTCTAAAAATTAATAAAAAGGAGAAAAAAAGATGTGGTACATACATTCAATGGAATACTGTTCAGCCATAAGAAAGAATGAAATATTGCCATTTGGGACAACATAGATATATCTTGAGACTATTATGTTAAGTGAAATAATTGAGATGCTAAAACTCAAGAATTGTATATTTCACTCAGATATACGACATAAAAGTAAAGCAACAACAACAACAAAAACCTCATAGACACAGACAACAGTATAAACGTTATCAGACAGGAAGAAGGGTGGGGAGGATGAAGAGGGCAAAGGGAGCCTAGACTTTGGGTGGTGAGCACACAATGCCATATACAGATGATGGAGACCTGCCTCCCCTTGTTTGACTTCTGTCTCTGTAAATTGGAGGAGAAATGTGCTTACCCAAGGGCTGTAAAAGCACTGTGAAAACCATAAAGCATTATGTTAAAAAGCAACGGCTTTAGACATGATACCAAGCCAGGTGTTCCCAGGATTAGGTTCCTGGGCTAGTCAGACTACGAGAAGAGACTCACCTTGTGCCCTGGTACTTCTGTCCCTGGCACAGCTTTCATATGGAAATCCACCATTCCTATCTTTTCTAATGAGTTGGTGTTGCCTATTGTTGATTTTTCTTTCTTTGCTTTTGCTTCTTCTCTCTCTTGGGCCAATCTGAATCAAAGAGAAAATCTAAATAAACCAACGACACTTCTGTTTTATTTTTATTTGTTTATTTTAAAAACTAATATAATGCTGTTTAACTTTATAGTGATAATTTAGGGTCTCCCAATTTTCCTTTTCAACTTATGCACTTTTGGCATTTTATCCCTCCTCAATTTCTTCCCTTTTCTTCATGAGGAAGAGGTGTCTTTCAGAGCCTAGTCTGCCAAGTCTTGATTATTTCTATCCTCATAATGAAGAGAATGCTGATTTCAAGTCCCCTCTTATTTAGGCGTGAACAACCGCACTGACCAATCCTCACTGGGCTCTCTGTCTCTGGTCTGTTCCATCCTGGAGAACAACTGTCAGCTTTTTGCTCCTGAGCCCACCCACGGGCACTTCAAGGTAGTGGCACTGTGTCCTCACCCTGCTCCACTGGGGACCAGGTCCTGTCCACAGTAGGCACCGAAGTGCTGCTGAATAAAAGTCTCTTCACTAGCCTGTCACAGATGTTCCCAGCTGAAGAACAAAATCAAATTCTCACTTGTCTCAGCAGACCACTCCCTCAAAATATGCCTCCTGCTTGCCACTTGGCTTAGACCTATTTTTCCTTGATCTAGAACAATCTTATCAATAACACTGGTCGATCCATCTGTATACTCCTAAAATATTTCCCCTTCTTAAAGTTCCCAGACTTACACAATCTTTCCTCTCTGAAAATACTTTCAGGATCTTAATTATCTTCATCTTTGTATGACACTATCATTAACAGTCAAAAGTCACATGAGCAATTGGGCAGTGTCTATTAACATTTTAAATGTATATACAGCTCCATGACACAGCAACTCTTCTGGCTGACACAAACCGCAAAGGATGCCTTACATTATGCACGAGCCATCCTCAAGGGTCATCTATTACTATGAAAAGGTGGAAACAGTCTAAATGTCCACAAGTGAGGGATGGCCAACTACACACTGTGGTTCAGCTATTTTCCAAAATAGTACTAAACAGTCGTTACAAAAAAGAGGGAAGATCTATATCACCATAAAAGAGTGTTAAAAAAGATAACATAGGCACCCAGCCGGCGTTGCTCACTGATTGAGCATCGACCCATGCACCAAGAGGTCACCAGTTCGATTCCCAGTCAGGGCACATACCCAGGTTGTGGGCCCAACCCCCAGTGGGAGGCATGCAGGAGGCAGCCAATGTATGTTCTCTCTCTCTCCGAAATCAATAAAGAAAAAAAAATTTAAATTAAAAAAAGATAACACGGTCATATATTTTCATAGCTTAAAAAATATATATGTAAATACACCGGTTGAGTTGGAGGTTCTGAGGAGTAACAGTTGAGATGTCTGAATTTGCTAATGTAATAAATATATTACTCAATAGTTTCAAATCAATTAAGTGAATATAGGAAAACATTTACAAAATAGAAAATACTATTTAAATTCACATAGAATAAATCTTACCTGTGCAGAAAACTTTCTTTTGCTAATTGAATTTGTAGTGTTCCACCTTTCCATTTGGTTTTATTTAAAACAGACATCCCTATAAAGAATTATTACCCAGTTACATCGCAGTACAAAAATACATTTCAGAATGAGCTTTTTCTAATTATTTAATACCAAGGAGAGCAGACTTGTTAATCATGAAGAGATACAGAGAAAACGGAATAGAGAATTTGAGGCCTGGAGTGAAAAGGCCTAGATCCTCGTCTCACCATGACCACACACCAGTGGAGCCCTTATATTCCCTACCTCCCAGTGTGACTGCAAGATATGAATGGGACAAATGTGTAAACTATAAAGCAAAATTTGTTTGGCATTTGTTTATAAGGTAATGTCAGAAGCCTCTGGTGAACGACTAATATTTATTTAACATTTTATTATTTCCCACACTAAAACTAGAAAATGTTAATGCAATTTTCCTAAGGGAAATCAGAGGACACTCTGGAATTCTGTAGCACTTCACTTTTATGTATCACCTCATACTAGTTATTACTGTAACTTCCAAACAAATTAACTGCAAGTGACTAAACTGTGTTTGAACTGCTATGCCCTAGTGGTTGATTTTTCTCAGTAATTGCTATCAGGTCGTAAATAATAACCACTAACAGATAGAAGATTGTATTGGTAGGTACTATTTTAAATATGAAGGTACTATTTAACTAATCTTCACAGTAATATTATGAAGCAAGCAATATGTTATATGTCGGGTAACCAAATTGGAGCTTAGAAGTTTAAATAAATTGCAACAGGTCACAATTCAGAGCTGTTGTGTTCTTAACCACAACTTATTGGTTATATCTACTTCTTCATAGAACAGAATAAATAAAAGTTTTGTTTTGTTTTGTTTTTCAAATGAAATGCAAGGACTGTGGCCTCTTTCTTTATTAGCAGTACCTCTTGACTTTTCAGCTTCTGAATAAGTAGAATACATGACTGCACCAGTGGCAGTATGGATTATCCCCCCTTGCTTCTTCAATGAGACCACAGTATGCCCTCAGCTTTACTCAATTTCTTGATAGAGATTTTGTAATTTCAAAAATATGGTCTTATAAGGGCATACACTAAAGCCAGATTTAATGACAAGAAAATAACCTCCCTAAGAAATTAACACTGGAGAAAGGGGGTTGGAGTTGGGGGGGGAGTAATGGCATAGTTTCCAGAGGAATATGTGTAACAAGCAATTTCTATGAAATTTTGTTTCTTTCCAAAATACTTTGGAATACCACTGTTAAGCAAACCCATTAGCAATGTGCTACCACACGTCTGCTGACGCTAAATGGTATGAAACTAAACCTGTGGAGTTACAGGACACTGGAATTCTCTTGATCATGGTTGTCCCTCTGGATAACTTCAAAAATGGCTGTTAAAGTTCAGATCTAGAGAAAAGTTTTTCCAAGTTATGCAGAGGCATAAAATGGCAAATCATATAGAAAATATCTTACATTTTTTCAGGTCTGTTTCTGCTATTCTGACGTTGATATATGCAAAGACTTTCTGTGGGTTTCCTAAAAAACAGAAAAATAAATGCATTTAAACTCTTATCCAAGGAACAATGTATAAATGATTCAGTTTCTAAATTTAAAAAAAAAAAGGAGCTCTTAGAAACTAACTCTTTCAAACAAACACCTTGTTTATTTTTCACTGGATACAAAGACTGCATTTTTTTAAGTATGATTACCAAAATACTCCAACAAAAATGAATAAGGGATTCCAAAATGGTAGCAGAGTGAATGGAAGCTACACAGATCATCTCCCAGGACCAAACTGGAATTACAACTAAAACAGACAAATCGTCGGAAAAAAGCAACAGAAAAGCAGCTTGCAAAGACCGTATAACCAGAGAAACTGACTTGATACTGGTAGGATTGCGAAGGAGCAAGAGGAGGGCTAAGAGCCCATGGACAGCAGAGGTCTTAGCTGTGAGTAGCGCCCTTGGGTTAAACTCCCAAGTGGCTCCACAGCACAGAGCTAGGACAGACGCTTAAATAGCCACAGCCACTCACCTTGGGCTCCGGGAGAGGGAGGGTGGATTGGACTGGAACTGTGTGGGGACACTCGGGATTTGGAGGGCACTCAGAGCTTTTGCTGAGTTGCAGCCACGCAGGACAGTGGCCATCTTACTCTTTCCCAGGGGTCTGTGGAGAGGTGGCTGCCCCTCCCTCGGAGATTCAACCCCACCCAGTGGTCCATTGAAATGCAAATTGAGGCACATTAACAACCAGCATCTGACCCACACTTGAGAAATCCCCTTAATGCTGAGCACCTGAGAGAGTTTCTCATTCAACTGAGGACCCAAGGCTCTTCAAGTAACCTCTACTGATAGCCTCCAGGCAAAAAGCTATAGGATAATTGAACCATTCCTGGGCTAGCAACTCTAACCAGGAAAGTAAGACTTGACAATAGTGTTTAGGTCTCCCACACTCCTCAAAACCCAGGAGAGGGAGCCACAAACAGCAGAACACCAACACCCACAGGGAAAATTTGGGAGGTTCCAAAGCCCACTGTGATAGCCAAAATGGTGAAACAAAGAAACAAATGCCAAATGAAAGAACAAGAGACCTCTACAGAAGATGAGATAAATGAGGAGCAGTTAAGCACGTTAACAGAGCTAGAATTCAGAGCCATGATCTTGAGGAAGCTCAACAGCATGAGTATAGACATCAACACCATGAGTGAAGACGTAGAAATGTTGAAAATAAACCAACTGGAAATTAAAAACCACCAAGAAGAAATGAAGAATGACATATCAAAAATAAAGAACACATTGGAAGGTCTAAACAGCAGAGTAGAAGAAGCAGAGAACCAGATAAGTGAATTAGAAGACAGGATAAAAAAAAAAATCAACCAATCAGAAAACCAAAAGGAAAAAACAATTAAAAAACAGGAAGATAGCTTAAGAGAACTGTGGGACAACTGGAAACGTAATAATATCCACATCGTAGGAGTCCCCGAAGAAGAAGAAAATGAGCAAGGGTTAGAGAATGTATTTGAAGAAATAGTGACAGGAAACTTCCCTAATTTGGTGAAGGAAGAAGGCATTCAAGTTCAAGAAGCACAGAGAGCCCCAAATAAGAAGAACCCAACAGGCCCACACCAAGACACATAGTAATTAAAATGACAAATATTAAAGACAAAGAGAGAATCCTAAAGGCAGCAAGAGATAAGTAATAGGTTACCTACAAAGAAACCACCATAAGGCTCTCAGCTGACTTCTTAACAGAAACACTACAGGCCAGAAGAGAATGGCACGAAGTAATCAAGGTCATGAAAAACAAGGATCTGAATCCAAGACTACTCTACCCAGCAAAGCTATCATTCAAAATAGAAGGTCAAATAAAGAGCTTCCCAGACAAAAAAAGGCTAAGGGAATACATTAGCCCCAACCAGCACTGCAAGAAATGTTAAAAAAACTGCTGTAATTAGAATAGAAAGAAAAATAGAATCGCACTAAACAAAAAAGGAAATAAATAGGTACATATCAATTATCACCTTAAATGTAAATGAATTGAATGCTCTGATCAAAAGACATGGAGTAGCTGATGGATAAGAAAGCATGCCTCATATATATGTTGTTTACAAGAGACCCACCTCATAACAAAAGACTCACATAGGTTGAAAGAGAAGGGATGGAAAAAAATCTTCCAAGCAAACAGAAAGCAAAAAGAAAAAGCTGGGATAGCAATACTCATATCGGATAAAATGGATTTCAAAATGAAGGCCATAACTAGAGACAAAGAAGGCCACTACATAATATTGAAATGATCTATCCAATAGGAAGATATAACCTTGATAGACATATATGCACCCAATAGGAACACCAAAATATATTAAAAATCTTCTGGAGGACTTCAAAAGAGAAATCAATAGCAATACAATCATAGCAGGGGACTTCAACACCCTGCTGACATCACTGGATAGACCCTCCAGACAAAAAATTAGCAAAGAAACAGAGATTCTAAATGAAGCACTAGACCAATAAGATTTAATAGATATCTACAGAGAATCTACCTCAAAACTACAGAATTCACATTCTTCTCAAGTGCACATGGGACATTCTTAAAGATAGACCACATGTTAGGACACAAACTAAGTCTCTACAAGTTCAAGAAGACTGAAATCATATCAAGCATCTTCTCAGATCACAATGGCATGAAACTAGAAATCAATTGTAACAATAACATGCAAAGACATTTGAACACATGGAGGCTAAATAGCATGTTATTAAACAATGAATGGGTTACCAGGGAGACCAAGGAAGAAATTAAAAACTTCCTGGAAACCAATGAAAATGAACACAAACAACATAAAATCTATGGGATGCATCGAAAGAAGTTCTGAGAGGGAAGTTCATAGCACTACAGGCCTACCTCAAGAAACAAGAAATATTTCTAATGACTAACCTCACAACTTAAAGAACTAGAAAGCAAACAAAAAGAAAACCTCAGAGCAAGTAGAAAGAAGGAAATAGTAAAGATCAGAGTAGAAATAAATGACAGAGAGACCAAAACAACAATTCAAAGGATCAATGAAACAAAGAGTTGGTTTTTCGAAAGATAAACAAGACTGATGGACCCTTAGCTAGACTCACCAAGAAACAAAGAGAGAAAACCCAAATACACAAAATCAGAAATGAAAGAGGAGAAGTAACAACTGACACTACAGAAATACAAAAGATCATTAACAAGTACTATGAACCATTATATGGCAACAGATACGGCAATCTAAGGAAAATGGACAAATTTCTAGAAACACACAGTCTCCAAAAACTGGACCCGGTAGAGATAGAAAACTTGAATAGACCAATAACAATTAACGAAATTGAAGAGGTAATCAAGACTCTCCCCGCAAACAAAAGCCCAGGCCCAGATGGCTTCACGGGGGAGTTTTACCGAACATTCAAAAAAGAACTAACACCCATTCTCCGCAAACTCTTTCAAAAAATTCAAGAAGGAAGACTTCCAAACTCGTTCTATGAAGCCAGCATAATTCTAATTCCAAAACCAGAAAAAGACACTACAAAGAAAGAAAACTACAGGCCAATATCCCTGATGAACATAGACGCCAAAATCCTGAACAAAATACTAGCAAATCGCATCCAGCAATACATCAAAAAAATTTATTCACCATGACCAAGTGGGATTCATCCCAGGGATGCAAGGCTGGTATAATATTCGCAAATAAATAAATGTGATACACCACATAAATAAAATGAATAAATACCAGATGATCACATCAATAGATGCTGAAAAAGCATTTGACAAAATCCAGCATCCATTTCTGATAAAAAACCCTCAGCAATGTGGGAATAAAGGGATCATATCTTGACATAATAAGGGTCACATATGAAAGACCTACAGCCAACATCATACTCAATGAGCAGAAACTAAAAGCATTTCCCTTAAGAACAGGAACAAGACAGGGATGCCCACTTTTACCACTCTTATTTAACATTGTACTGGAAGTCTTAGCCACAGCAATCAGACAGGAAGAAAAAAATAAAAGGGATCCAAATTGGAAAGGAGGAAGTGAAACTGTCATTATTTGCAGATGACATGATATTATACATGGAAAACCCTAAAGACTCCATCAAAAATCTACTAGACTTAATAAATGAATTTGGCAAAGTAGCAGGATATATAATTAACATCAAGAAATCGACAACATTCTTGTACACCAATGATGAACTCACAGAAAGAGAAACTGAAAAAAGCAATCCCATTTACCATCGCGGCAAAAAAATTAAGATACTTAGGAATAAACTTAACCAAAGAAGTAAAGGACCTATTTGCAGAAAACTACAGGACATTGAAAAAAGAATAGAGTAAGATATAAAAAAGTGGAACCACATACCTTGTTCATGGATTGGAAAAATTAACATCATTAAAATGTCCATACCCAAAGCAATCTATAGATTCAATGCAATTCCCATCAAAATACCAATGACATATTTCACAGAACTAGAATAAATACTTCAAAAGTTCATATGGAACCTAGAATAGACACAGCTATCTTGAAAAAGAAGGACAAAGTACGTGGGATCACATTACCAGATATCATGTTATACTGCAAAGCTAATGTAATCAAAACAGCCTGGTACTGGCACAAGAACAGGCATATAGACCAGTGGAGCATAACAGAGAACCCAGATATGGTCCCAAGACATTATGCTCAATTAATATTTGACAAAGGAGGCAAGAGCATACAATGGAGTAAAGACAGCCTCTTTAATAAATGGTATTGGAAAACTGGACAGCTACATGCAAGAAAATGAAACTTGACCATCAACTTACACCATACACAAAAATAAACTCCAAATGGATAAGAGACTTAAATGTGACCCGTGAATCCATAAATATTTTAGAAGAAAATGTAGGCAACAAAATTTTGGACATCTTACTCAGCAGAATTTTCAATGATACATCACCTAAAGCAACAGAAACACGTGGAGAAAGGAGAAAATGAACACGTGGGACTACATCAAACTAAAAAGCTTCTGCACAACCATCAAAATGGAAAGGCAACCCACTATATGGGAGAGCATCACTGCCAGTGATACATCAGATAAGGGGTTAATTTCCAATATATAGAGTACACATACAACTCAACACAAGGAAGACAAAGAACCCAATTAAAAAATGGGCAGAGGAGCTGAATAGACATGTCTCCGAAGAGAACATACAAATGGCCAAGAGACATATGAAGAAATGCTCCACATCACTAATCACCAGAGAGATGCAAATTAAAACAATGAGGTATTTATCACCTCATACCTGTCTGAACGGCTGCAATCAACAAATCATCAAACAAAGGTTGGCAAGGGTGTAGAGAAAAGGGGACTCTAGTACACTGCTGGTGGGAATGCAGACTGGTGCAGCAACTATGGAAAACATATGGTGTTACCTCAAAAAATTAAAAATCGAATTGCCTATGACCCAGTAATCCCACTTCTAGGAATATACCCTAAGAAGCCTGATACACCAATCAGAAAGAATATATGTACCCCCATGTTCATAATGTTCATAGCAGCACTATTTACAAGAGCTAAGATTTGGAAACAGCCCAAGTGTCCATCAGTAGACGAATGGATAAAAAAGCAGTGGTACATATGCACAATGGAGTACTATGCAGCTGTAAGAAAGAAAGATCTCTTATCCTTTGAGATGACATGGAGGGACCTGGAAAGTATTATCCTAAGCGAAACAAGCCAAGCAAAAAAATACAAATACCACATGATCTCACTTATTTGTGGACTATAATGAATATAATAGTCTGAGGAACTGGGTAGACCCAGAGATGTGGAAGTAGGGTACAGACTGACAACCCTCAGAAGGGGGGTGGTAGGGGAGAGAAGAGAGAAACACAGAACTGATATGCATGTATGCATAACCAATGGACATGGACAACAAAGCCAGGGATGGGGTGGGTGGGATGGGGAGGAGGGTGTCAATGGGGTAAAAAAGGAGAAACATCTATCACAAAAAACAAACAAACAAACAAAAAAAACATTATTAAAAAAATGAAGAAAAAAATGTCAAGTGGTCCGTTGATTACATGTTGTTATATTATATTGTTAAACTTATGGTTACATGTTAGTGACATTCTGTTTAATAGGATACTGAATGAATATTAGAATGTCAGCTCTGGACATGAAAAGTTACACATTTCAGAAATTGGATGTTGTAGAATTTGGAATATTTTTTATCTCAGGAATGTAATTCTGAGCAAGTTTCCGTCATGTTATACGTCCAGGGCTAACGTTCAGCTTCACGCTTCCTTTATTTTGTGATAAATGACTTGAGTTACATCTTCCTTTAAGTACTCATGGAGGACTATAATTTACCTTGGTCATCTTTCCGAGTGATGATCTCCACATCAGAGACTTCTCCAAATCTGCTGAACTGGGTTTGTAGGTCCACCTCAGAAATGTTCTGGCCAAGGCCACCCACAAAAAGGCGCTTTGTTTCTCTGTTGCCTTTCATAAGCCTGGGCATACACTCAAAGTGTTCTGGTGGGAGAAATAGTTTTTCATGTACAGAGAAAAGCTCTTTCAATTAGTTCTTTTCAATCCTAAAAACTAAACAAAAAAAACCCCAACTCACTTTGAACCTTGGATGCCAAATAGGTTACCTGGAGATTCTGGTCAAATCCTACGTCCACTTTCTCCATGAACCCACTCTGGAACAGTACTACACACAGACACAGGTACAGGGAGATGCCTTCCCTCAGATGAGTGTAACCTCACACTCTACTCATCCTCATTTACTTATCCACCTTGCTAGGTGTTTCCCTTTAATTCATTTACACACCCCTTCGCTCACTTTAAGAAATGAGATGTGAGAGGTCAGCATACTGAAGGATAACAGAGCCAGAGCTCAATCCTGGCATCTCTCGGTCACATGAGAAGGATGCAGTTACTACTCTGTCACAAGACGGTGACTGCAAAGTGCTGTTCAGGCAGAGAGCAACCGATGGCATAGCGACACAAACTCGCTTGGTTTCCTACCCCCAGCGTTGTACGCATCTTCTGCGTGCATCTCATGTTTTCAGATGAGCAGGAGAGATGGCCTCAATTTCCCAATGCCGTTCGGAGAACTGGTGAGGCCAGAATCAGAAACCAGATCTAATTTCAGAACCTGCAGTGCACAACTCTTCTGGGCAGGCTGTTGGAACAGAAGGGGCGCAGGGACACTCCCGGAGGTACTGCGATCCGAGGCCCTGCATGAGATCTCGAATCCCGTTTGGCACCTACAGGCGCTCTGCGGCCACACCCTACCTTTCCCAAGGGGCTGACACATTCTTCCCACTCTAGACCCCCAAACGACGTCAGAAACCAAACGTCTGGCTCGTGTTCTGGGCGTGAGGCACGGCCTACATCTTCCTGGTGGAACCCCCTGCCCCCAGCTCCTCAGCCCAGCCTTCTTGCCCCTGAAGACCCAAAGACGAAAAGGAACAGTGGAGGCCAAATAGCTCGGTCACTTTCCACGGCCCAAACCCACTCCTTACCCTCAGTCTTCCACACCCAGGGCCGGGGAGTATTGGGGGGGGGGGGGGGGGGGGCGGACGACTCAGTTCTAGTCACGTGTCCCGCTAAGCGGAGTCTCTATTCCTTCCTACCGGTTTTCCAACCCAGCCTCCTAAGGTTCCGTTAGCGCCTTCAGTTCCCTAGCGCTCTTTACTTCGTTACCCGTCGTCTGGGATCACGCGATGCCTCCGTCACTCTTCCCTAAACGTCCTCAAAAGATTCAAAGAGTAATTCCACGATTCTTACGTGAGAGGGTTTTCGCCATGTGTCTATCCACGCCGGGACTAGGTCGGCGGAAGTGAGGAAGCGAAAGCAAAATATTGAGACGCTCCCCTTCCCACGGTCCCGGAAGCGACTCTTCAGTGCGCACACATCCGGGCTGCTCCAACCTCCGCGAGCGCAGGTTGGACGGCCCTAGCCTTGGGCTTCGATTGGAGCAAACCAACTCTCCCCAAGCGTAGGGGCCGCTGGGAAGGGCCGCGGCGACGTTCGCAGGACGGCAATGAGCCCGAGATCCTTTGCGAGCTCGGCCTGAGCGCAAGGACGTCGCGCGTGCTCTCCTCCCCACCCCCAGCCGAGCGCCTCGGATGGTCCGCGCCAGGAGCGCGCGAGGTTTGAAGCGCCCGCGAGCTGCGCGCTAGTCAGAAGGTCTTCTGTTGGCGCTGAGCTATGGCCGCTGAGCAGGCCGAGGTCCGCGGCCTGGAAGCCGAGATCGCGGCCCTGAAGAGGGCGTTCGAGGAGTTGCCGGCGCGCGGGCAGGACGCCGCCGGAGTCCAGTACGTGGCCCTCCTCAGGTCCTGCGGGGCGGGCGGAAGTCTCCCCTCCCAGGCGTCCCGGACCTCTCCTCAGACATCGCGGGAACACATGACGTGGGGGGGAACGCGAACGGCCCCGGAACGACGGGGTGCGGAACGCTTGTCCGCGGCCCGCTGTGAGGGCGGGGACCCGGAGCCGCTGTCGCCGGTGGGCGGTGTCGACGGCTGCGTTAGGGCTGCCCCGCGGCGTCCGGCGGTTACGTACCAGGTGCCGGCGGGCCAGGCAGACGTGCGCCTCTCTGTTAGTGCCTAGGACAGGTCTCTAAGCAGATGCTACGTTAATGTGCAAAAACAGGTGTATTTGTACACACACCCATGCAGGAAAGCAGCCTTCTGTCAAATGGGGAAGGTTAAGATTCCTAAGTAGCTGATTTGGGGACCTACTGCAATGGGAAGACTTGCTTTGTTGCCTTCAGATATGTCTCTTTCCCTGACACTTGAGCAGGCTTTTTAATTATATTATTTTTAAATTAGTTTGTTCTTTATTGGTTTTATTTTATTTTTTTATTGATTGATTTTTAGAGAGAGAGGAAGGGAGAGAGAAACATCGATGAGAGAGAACATGGATGGGCCGCCTCCTGCATGCCCCCCACTGGGGATCGGTCCGCAACCTGGGCGTGTGTCTTGGTCGAGAATTGAACCCACGACCTCTTGGTGGATGGGTTGAGGCTCAGCCACTGAGCCACACGGGCCGAGCTTGAGCAGGCTTTTTAAATGCATCTTCCTCCTGGGCCTGCTTTTATAATCCCTTATGCTATACAAGCTGGTGTTCCAGACAGCCTGTTTGTCGAGCTACTTTCCCACCAAGATCAGTTTCCTTGTTGGCAGAAGCCACAGTCTTCAGGTCTAGCAAGAGGTTGGTTAACTTGTTTTCCAACCCAGAACAGACCCCAGAGCTTGTATTCCGGTTCCCCAGTTACCCATGTCAGCCCTCTTCATCACATCGGCACCACTGATGTGCAGCTCATAAGATGCCACGTGATTAGTAGCAGCAACTCTTCAGAGAGGAGGTTGTGGCCCTCGGATGCCATCTCAGTGTTAGTGGAAACCAGGCATGAACAGTGCTGGCAGGTGCTATTTTTAACCCTGTCTGGGAGTAGTTAAGTTGCTAGCTCAAGGTCTTGGAGGAGAACCGAAGTGTCACACCTGCATTGCACCTCAAGAGTCGAACTTGAAAGCTGGGCACTTTGCGTCGCTGAAGAAGGGGAGAAAGGGTCTATAAGGTGTGGAACAGTTATGTACCTGTTGGCTCAAATGTGCAAGCTGCTCCAAAGCAGAAACCATTATCAGTCAAGACTAATTTGACACAGGTGTGGAGAGAGTAAGGTTTTTTTTTTTTTCCCCTGAGCTGACTGGACAAGAAAAAGAGGAAGTGGGAGTTCTGAAGAATTTTGCAGGCTTGTTGGATGGGATCATGAAGGTAGAGGAAGCTGTGACTGGTAGAGGGGAGAGGGAAGCAGGCAAACAGGGAACAAATACCTCCACATGTGCAGGTGCTTCTCCAGGGGTGCCCCACAGATTGGAAACGAGCATGACTTGGGAGATAGGTAGAAATACAGATTTTTGGCCTTACCCCGACCTGCTAAGTCAAAATCTTCAATAAAACAAGACCCCCACACTATTTTATCACACTTGAAAGTTTGAGAAGTGCCTTATCATACTGTGGGGGAAAATTATTTTACTACTGCCCATTAGATGGTATTTTTAGCCAAGGATAATAGAGAGACTATTGGTGTAATCTGGGCCTCCTCAATTGTAGGATTGGGGGTTTGACAGATGAACAAAATGTAACCTTGAGGTATGCATTCTCACAGCCTGGCCAGCCAAGGACCAGAGTATGCGTGAGAATAGAAAACGTATGCATGATGGATTGAAACACCACCCAAGAGAGAGTATCAATGGATTTATCGCTAAAGGAGTGAATGTGTTACGTATCTTGGCTGAAAACAGCAAAGAGGTCGGGGGAGGGAGGGACAGACAGCTGGAAAAGGAAGAATGTTGGGTTTGGCTGAAAGGTCAGCAGAGATGCTATCTCAAGGACTTAATTACCTAAACCACCCTGTAACCTAGGGAACTGCTAAGAGAATAAATTGGGCTGCATCCAGAATTCCCAGAGCATTTGCTTCCTTGCGATGCTCCCCCTCCTTCCAAGGCTTGTCTGCTGGTAGTTCATTGTGTTGCCAGGACCCCTGGCAGGCTGAGAGTTGGCACTCAATGATCTAGTTGGAAAGTGGGAAAGTAGAAGAGTCCAGGGTGTTTGGATTTAATCTGAAGTTTCTTTTCATTATGGTGGAGAAGAATGATTGGGACCTGTTTACCAAGGGTTTTTTTTGTTTTTTGCTTTTTAATTAATTGTGGTGAAATACCATAAATTTTACCTTCTTAACTATTTTTAAGTGTACAGATTAGTAATGTTCCATACATTCATAATGTTGTGCAGTTATCACCACTATCCATTTCTGTAATTTTTAATCTTGTAAAACAAACTCTATACCCATTAAACAATAATTTCCCGTTGCCCACTTCCCTTAGCCTCTGAAACCACCGTTCTCCTTTCTCTGCATTTTACTTGTCTAGGTAACGTATAAATACCATCATACATATTTCTCTTTGTGTGACTGGCTTATTACACTTAACTTAATATTCTCAAGGGTCATTCGTATTAGTATATTGCAGAATTTCTTTCCTTTTTCCAGCTGAATAATAATCCATTATATGTCTATACATTTGGCGTATTCATTCATTTATCAAAGGATGCTCTTGTGTTGTAGCTATTATGAGTAATGCTTGTGTGAATATGGGTGTACAAATATCTCTGAGAGCCTGCTTTTAATTCTTCTGGTTATACACCAAGAAGTAGAATTGTTGGATCATATGATAATTCTATTTTTAACTTTTTGAGGAACCCCATCCCCACCCCATACTGTTCTCCACAGTGATGTACCTTTTACATTCCCATCAGTAGTCCACAAAGGTTACAGATTCTCCACATCCTCCCCAACACTTGTTTTTTTTTTTGCAATTTTTATTTATTTTTGTTACAGATATTTCTTCTTTTTCCCCCATAGACACCCTCCTCCCGATCCTGCCCCCTTCCCAAGCATTGTGGTCTATGTCCATTGGTTACACATATATGCGTATAAGTGCTTTGGTTTATGTCATTCTTTTTCCCCACCCCCCTCCTCTGAGGTTTGTCAGTGTGAACTGCACTTCTTTCTATGTCTCTGGGTCTATTTTGTTCATCAGCTTATTTTGTTCATGATGTTCCACAGGTAAGTGAGATCATATGGTACTTGTCTTTCTCAGATTGGCTTATTTCACTTAGCATAATACTCTTCAGGTCCCTCCATGTCATCTCAAACGATAGATCTTTCTTTCTTACAGCTGCATAGTGTTTCATTGTGTAAATGTACCACAGCTTTTTTATCCACCCATCTATTGATGGACACTTGAGCTGTTTCCAGATCTTAGCAATTGCAAATAGTGATGCTATGAACATAAGGGTACATACATTCTTTCTGATTGGTGTTTCAAGCTTCTTAGGCTATAGTCTTAGAAGTGGGACCACTGGGTCAAATGGCAGATCAATTTTTAATTTTTGAGGAAACATCACATTGTTTTCCATAGTGGCTGCCCCTGTCTGCATTCCTACCAGCAGTGTATTAGAGTCTCTTTTTCTACACACCCTTGCCAGCATTTGTTGTTTGATGATTTGTTGATGGCAACCATTCCGGCAGGTATGAAGTAATACCTCATAGTCGTTTTAATTTGCATCTCTCTGATGATTAATGACATAGAGCATTTTTTCATGTCTCTTGGCCATTTGTATGTCCTTTTTGGAGAGGTGTCTAGGTCCTTTGCCCATCTTTTAATTGGGTTCTTTGTCTTCCTTTTGTTGAGTTGTACGAGTACTCTATATATTTTGGAAATTAACCCCTTATCTGATGTATCATTGGCAATTACGCTCTCCCATACAGTGGGTTCCTTTCCATTTTGATGGTTGTTTCTTTTGCTGTGCAGAGCTTTTTAGTTTGATGTAGTCCCATGTGTTTATTTTTTCTGTTGTTTCTCTTGCCTTAGGCTTTGTATCAGTGAAAATTCTGCTGCATGTCATGTCTGCAATTTTGTTGCCTACATTTTCTTCTAGGATTTTTATGGATTCACAAGTCACATTTAAGTCTTTTATCCATTTTGAG